TAGCACCTGAAGCTTGGGCAGTAGTTCGAGACAGTGGGAAGTACCAAACACAGGCTCGGTGAAGAAGAAATGGTTGAATAAAATTCGCCGGATAGGAAGATCAGGTTTCCCAAACGAATTATTCACAAAAGTGGATATTTCCTGTTAGACGGAAAAATGCACGTCGTATTCAAGATTCTTCGATTTATTTTTCAGACAGAAATTTCATTATGTCTTAGGCCACAGTGTTTTTAGGGACAGTATTACTTGAGGTAGTTATCTGAGTAGCAATTGTTCGATTGCTTTTATATTTTAAATAACACCGTGTCACCACTCATGCGGATGATGTAATACTATGCAGTGGTGATCGAAATTTTTACTGCCTTGTAAGAGTAATCTAAAACTTATCGCTGACTAAAAGGCTTTCTGATAACACTAAAAGATACAAGTTCAAATCTCAAACAACGAATTTACAGAAAAGGCAGCAGAGACAAAACTTCAAGTGTATATAGTGAAGACAAAGTTGATGCAGTTAACCAACTAACAACAATAATAGTCAGTCTAAAAGAGGTAACATCTCTGAATTAACAAGGCAACATCATTTCAACTAGTGGCACCACGGATTAAAATATCAAAACCAGGATCTTAAAAGCAATACAGCTCTTGATTACTTTGAAATCAGTGTGGAAATATACTGCACTCAGCACACGGAGGATTTATATTTTCAACACTAAATATTAAGTTTGTTCTTCGATATGGTTCGGAGACTTGGTGTGTCACCAACGGCTTGGTGCAGACTTTCTTCAACAGCTTCCTCCCCTCCAAGCTAAAGATCAAATAGTCAACCATATCGGATTAGCAAATATGAACTCTAGTAAGGAACTAACCAAGAACCTATCGCTCGAAAAGTTTTTTGAAGGAAATGGAGATGGATCGGACAGACACTAACGAGATCGTTGTGTGATGTCACGCGGCATACAGACCGTTGAGTGGAACTCAAGTGGGAAACGACGAATTGTACTTCGAAGAGTGACATGAAGGAGATCGTGTGAGTAGATGAGACCTTATGGGCAACCGTGAAACCAACTAAGAAAGACTGTAGAAAAAAGTATGAAATGGTAATGTGCTACTGAAGCCTTGTTTCACTCGGAACTCAGGGGAATAATAATCAGCGTTATCACCAATTTTGTGTTGACAGAGCGGGATGTATTGATACAATAATTCTCAATCACTTACTCTTAACATCACTTTGATTCCATTCGAAAAGTTTGACGTTTTGACAGGTATCCAGAAACTCCTCTGTTGAATGATTTTCCTTCTGGCCACCCTTATTGTGTTTCACGTCAACTTGAATTTGGTTTATATTGTTGTAAGTTAGACACTGACTAACTGCACTATAGATAAGATTTTATTCTGATAAATCACACAGTGTTGTAGAGTAATATTAACTGATGGTATTTCGAGCTCAAATTATTGCTCGTTCACACAACTCGAAACGTCTTCAGTTAATATTACTGTACAACACTGTTTGATTTATTAAAATAAAATCTTATCTATAATGGAGCTATACTCTACCACAGTGCCCAAGTTTTATACTTATGTCAAAAACTGACTGGTTTCAACGTAGAACTTTGCACCAATGTGCAGCAGTTCGAGTTGTCACACTTCACTTAGCACACAAAGCAAGAGAAGAGAGTAAGGAGAGATTCAAAACAAAGATATGAGAAGAAAAATATAGTTTTATTGGATATTATAAGTCACAAGGAGTGGATGCATCTGGGCCAGCTATTGAGAACGATTTTGGGCTGTAGACAATAGCTTGACATGGATAAATCGTATCTCAGCTACTGCACTTGTCTCAAACTCACAATCCAATCCACTGAGTTACCTGTATATGTAAGTGCAGTGCATCTAGCTTCGAAATTTCTCATCTAGTGACTCATCTTTGTACTGTCAATGCTTATAAGACAAGTGTGATCGTATTTTGTGTATTCCATATCCATCTTTCATCTTCAGTTGTCATTTCTCGAGCATTAAATTAAAACAGCGAACTTCTGTGCAGTAAACTTTTAAACTTTTTAAAGTTAATCAACAATAATATATCTTATTAACTTCAGAGGTAAATCCAGTTTTGCGAATGTAAAACGACTCGCATGTTCTCATTCTAAGGTTTCGTCAGTAGGCAGTCGGTCGAAACTGGAACAACTTTCTCATGTGTATACGACTGCTTTATTACTAATGAATTAAATTACTGTTGGTCCATATAACTTAACTGATGTTGTACACTAACTCACATTCATCACTACACCCAAACTAAAGTTAAACAGGAATACTTTTATATTTATAAGTTCTGTTCATGTATCACAATGTCTAAGCAATTTAGAACCTTTGATAATTTATATTTGCCTTTAATGAACATTTACCTTCAATAACAAAGATTTACATTTAAGCAGCTGATTTGTGGTTATAATGTACAGCTCTGTTCTTCACTACATACTTAAATTCTCCCGCGTGAAGTGGTATGATAAGGTGAGCAATATTGAGGTTAGGCGTCGAGTGCTAGGTAAGGAGGGGAAATCAGTTGACGAAACTGTGAAATTACATCGACTGAGATGGTTAGGACATGCGCTACGTATGCCTAGTCATCGCCTTCCTCGACGGGCAATGTTAGCTGATATAGAGCCAGGCTGGAAAAGAGCTAGCGGCGGTCAAACCAAAACATGGCACCAGTCAATGAAATCCACAACAGTCAGTCTAAGCCACGTAGGAAGGTGTAGACTTCCTGGTTGGAGTCCTAGGGACGGTAAAAACCAATGGTTGGAAACAATTGGTGACATGGCTCAAAATCGTTCTCAGTGGCGCAGATTCATCCACTCCTTGTGATTTATGATTTCCAATTAAACTGTTTTGTTCTCCGTTATTACTATTCCTTTGTCTCACACCTCTGTTTACTGTCTGTATTATGCATTTCTCCTACTTTTTTCTCTTGCTTTGTGTGCTACATGGAGTGTGGCGACTTGAACTGGCGCACATATGTGCAAAGTTCTATGTCGAAAACCGACCGACATACTTAAATAATGAATAATCTCAACTTGTATAGTGAACTTTGTTTCCATACACTGCTAAACAGTAAACACTGACCACAGACTTCCAAACTCGGGTGCTTTGTTGGATTTCGATTTGAAAATATTCTCCATTTTTGTGTGAGGGATTCATCCAACCGTAGGTTGAATATTGAATAATTAAAGTGTGACCACATACCTGTTGAACTGTAGTGTTTCAAAACTTCAGCCACTTATCCTGGAAACCTACCAGAAAACGATCTTGCCTTGAAAAAGTTTCAGTAATCATCCAAGATTTTTGAACTAGTATTCTTTTCCTATGATGATTTCTCCAACACGTAACCTTTATTGCTGGCGGTTATATGTAAACGCACAATCAATGGACATCTAAGCTGCATATTGTTATCACTATGGCTGTAGTTTTGCACCGAATAACCTTAGTTGGTCAATTTAATTAAAGCTACGAGAATCTCAAAATCTTGGATTTGAGTTACTACCCGCATCACTTTTTATTGTCTCCCAGTTAATCAGGACTCATATGACTGTTGGAACATTTGGTTTTTCTTCAAGAAAATTGACTATTTCTAGGCAAAATATTTATATCATTTTAATTGCAGTCAGTGAGTGCTTGGGCGGAAATTGTTATCAAGCATTGGCAGTTTTTTATTTTCGCTCATCTAGGAAGTTCAACAGGTGACTCTCACCTGGTATCCGAACATATACTACACTTTTCTCTCTAGATGATAGTCTCTTATACAAACCAAAAAGCTTGTGGTTTTAGCCATTCACTATTTTCCGCAGGGAAAATTGTACTACTTCACTATCTTGAATAGTTTTAATTGGATCTCGAGTACTTTTTGACAGCTAAGTCGAATCAGATGCGTATTTGTGCAAATAAAGTGTTTGCAGTGTTCAGTGATAAAGCCCTGGCTCATCCAAATATCTTACACCCGCATATCTGCAAATTTCAAGAACTATTTAGTGGGACTGATTTGTTGAGTTAACGACGCGCAATTCCTAAAAACTAATTCGTTGCAATTTCTATTATATTCACCATAGTTACATAAATTATTTAGCTTTTTTAAACATTATTTTGAGTTGTCATACATACCTAATCACTTGTTTGAAAATGTTTTAATATAGAGAGATTTTCTAGTTTAGAAATCTGTTTTGTTTTCTTCACTGAGTTAACTGTCGGTCAATTTTAGTAATTTAAATGCAGCGGAATGATGATAAGATATGTTCTGTATTCAAAGAAGTATTCCAAATGTTTTGGTTTTACTCTAAATTATGTTACCAATTATTATTATTTTGTCTCACAATAAGGCTCGTTATTGTCATATCTTTAAGCCCTCATAATTCCAGTTAGTTTCAGGTTTGGTTACGAGCTGATATCGGTTAGAGAATTATCGAAAAACCAGGGAGTACTGGATAACTGTTTCGTCCTAGTGTGGGACTCTTCATCAGCATGCACCTACCGGCTGTCAAACAAAGGACCTTCTCGTTGCGAGGCGAGCTCGTAGACCATTCAACCAACAAGACTTGATATAATGGCCTATGAACCCCGCTGTCTACCACTTTCCATTAGAACTTCAGTTACCTTCCTGTATTAGGCCGGCTGCTAGTGACCATGAGATTAATTATCAAGTATTGGTTTGTAGGGATTTCATTGGTTACAGTTAGAGAACCGTTGAAAAACTAGTTAGTTTTTTAACACCCTGAAGCTTCGAATAGTTTCGATGTTTTGATATTATCAGTAACTTATATGTCGACGACTTGAGTTCCATACTGAAAGTTACATTTCCATTTAAGCCTTATTGTCGAGAAACCTATCAGGATACTGTTTGTTTATCCTTATTTTATCTTTTTATGTTCAAAAAACTTATTTACTGTCTGTAAATTTGAAAGCAAATTTTTATTATAACTCGACCTATATGTTGATTGTTGTTTCACTTACAGGCTATGCGCTTAACTCTACTACGAGGGGATGGTGTAAGATTGCCTCTAGTAGTTCCTGTCGATGCTCGTGTTTTAGAATTACGGTGGGCAGTGCAAGAAGCCATTTCATCTTATATGAATCATATATCAAATTTACCAGAAGCAAATCATAAAGGTGGTTTCACTGATAATATCTCTTCACAAAGCCGTATTTCTGCTAAATCTATCAGCTGGCGAAGTATTTGGAAAACAAAGTGTTTAGCTGTTGTAAACCCAAATGGTGTATTTCCTCCTGAAGGTCTTCCATCTATCACTGCTAGACTGGATGTATTAACCAACAAATTGTCAGAGCACTACCAAATTCGTAATGGAGCAATTATTACCTTTGCTCCCCGACTTCATCGAAAATGAATATTTGTGTATATGATTTTAGATATCAAGTACATATTTTTCCTTTTGTCTTTTATGTATATAATATAGTTTTGGTGAAAAGTTGTTACTTATCTGATTTACAGTAACAGTTTGGTATCGCACACGAAATATGTTGAACAAAATGAAAACGTAAGTAGGAGGAATGAGATATTGACAAATTATCAAAGAAGCAATCTAATTAGATAGATTTAAGAGCTTTCACTTACAAATGGTAGACGATCGCGTACACCAACAGCATATATACTGTTGATTTTGTGGTATTGAGCTGTATTTCTAAGCATCTTGAGCTACTGAGGGTAGAGCGAACGTCTTAAGTTCCTTACAGAGTCATAACTTATCCATATTCTTCTAACTCGCTTACAACCATTCTTTAGACTAACAATATATATGTGAAGATCTTAGATCATCTATCCTGGATAAATTACGTCATATAGGTAGGGACAATATAACGTTCCACACAAAACTTGTACGCTCTCCCAGTATATAACTCAGTCGTATTATATCACGTATTGTATTCGTTATTGATAACCACATTAAGGTCTTTATGAGTTCGTCTACTTTTCGTTCATATAACAGGATAAATTATTTCAAAGAATCGATTTGTACTGAAATATTTAAGAAACTACCTGAAGATTCAGCAATACAAGATTTAAATGACCTTTTGGTAACCGAATCTCGATTCATCTGAAATAGTACATATCCCTATAAGAAAATATTTTCTTCTGGACATCTTGGGCTAACTACTAAGACTCTTATTTTGTATATTTACAATAATAGCTTAAAAGCTTAGATATTGGGCGCATCAGTTGACTTCATATGTATGAGTTTTTGGCTTGTTGACAGTAATAATAGTACATAAGCTATATTTGAAAAGATGCTTTCTTTCTTCATTTTTTGTTGAGTAGGTGTTGTGTTTACAAAATTTATTTTTGGTGAATTTCGTACTGATAACTAACTCTTAATTACCCGTTTACAACTCTACGCTGGCGGTACTTGTAATCCCTTGGGTTTGAATAAATGACTTCTTAGAGCGTCAGCCCATCTGTAGGCTATTTTTCTGATTTCAACTTTATCCAAATATTTTTCGTTTTTGAAAGAATATCTTACTCAAACTACTAATCTTTTGCTTTCTATTGCTTCGAGGTGTTGTTTTCAACAAAGTATGTGTTAAGTTGATTAGTGATAAATTATGAGTCAGTTTTTATTCACGAGTTCTGTAAACCAGACATTCGACCCCAACCAAGACTAAAGGTCGTATCAGTGTGGATTTCCATTGGTACACGCTAACCAGTCAGTAGTCAGAAAATAGTTTCTATGTCTTAAACCTGATAATTTATCGGTCACGTGAAATAAGTAAATAATTAATTGTAGTGTAATTGTTTAGTGCTATACGTGATGACGTAATCTTTTCTTATAAACATAGTAGACAATACATTTCATCAACTCTACCATTACTAATACTGCTGTTTTAATGTTCATAGTAGAGTATGAAAAATGCGCCATGGATGTTTAGTTACAATAAATAATTGAAGTTGAAACGTCTTATTTGTATGAATGTTGTTACATCTCAGTGAGAAGTTATATAAGAGTACTGATTACATCACTTTTTCGAGATGCCATCCTTCCTTCGGTTATTGGTTTAAAACAAACACGCTTTTATTTGTGAATTAGGTAAATTGTATTGAAGTCAGATAACTACTAACTACCATATATAATTAATATAACAGTAAAACATTGTACTTTTGTGAGATAAATATTATATTTGAGAATTGAATTATCAATAGAGTTATTTCATAAAACCAATTTTACAAATCTAAACAAGCATAATTATAATTTTATTTTTTTTTAAAAAAGAAAAACAATGTGTAGAATAGAAAGTTGCTTAAACTGTACCTTTTACTTTGTCTTAGTTTATCAAATTCAATCTGACAGACCGACTAACCACATTTCATATCATGCATGGCTATCCTTGATTATCTCTTGATGCCATTGATTAAATGCTTCATTTAGATAGGCTACTGATCGATATGTTGAAGATTCAAAGGATTTATCCTTATTCGTTGGATAGGAATTGTTTCTACGCCAATAAAGACGATATGCGTGTATTATGCGTAACTGAAATTTTGGAATAAAAACAAAAACTGTTGTATAATAATGACAGATTTCTTATCGTTAGGATGTTTTTCAACTAATTTATTATCACAGGACAAGCAAGCGATGTTAGTGGTTCGTCAGTAGTTCATCGGTAGAATGACTATCAACTACGCATGTGGTCCGGGTGGCCGTTAGTAATCCCGGCTAGCAACCCACAGCTTAAAAATAAAACCATTGCTACTGAAACTTCAAAGTTCCAGCTTGATTTTGTATAACGTTAACGGTAACAGCAATTCACTGCAATAATAGTAGGTGGAATGAACCTTCTTTAATTAACATCATTCAAAATTCAGTCAGTTTCCCCGCCGCCTCATTTCTATCATATTAACAAAGAAGTTCATGCTTGATTGCTCTATAGCAAAATACTATGAAAGTAGTCAATACAGGTCAGATGGTGTTAGTTTAGTGTTTTTTGTTTCGACGAAACGACTCACTTTCTCAGTAAGTTTATACAACTGCTTAGTCACATATCATAATACTCATTAAGGGCTTGTACAATATTTGTTTCTTTCCATCTTTGGTGTGAGAAAATTCTGTTTTTATTCCGTATCCTTAAGAGAAAATAGGGAAATTGAAACGGTTTGATTAGAATTAGCAGAATATCAAACTTGGCAGGTAGTATCGTAACGACAGAAGGCAAGAGTCAGGCAACAGATCGTTTATTAAAGAAAATTAACACATATTTATAGATTTTAATGTACATTATTGTAGATTATTGTTAGTAGAAAATACAGTCTTTTGATTGGTTGTTTCTCACAGAAAGTTAACCTTGCATCTCTTTGTGGCTGTGTCAGATCATCCATTTGCTAACTGTATCCGCCTACGCAAAGCCTTTGTTCTCATTTTCTCACCACCAATATTGGGGACATAAACATTGACGTCAATTACTGTCTACCAACTTTGGCTAGCAGCCAGCTCCCACCACAGTATGATGTTAGGTGGATACTTATCTGTAACTGAGAGATAGGCTTGAGCTGTTCTCTGAATACAGTGAACCGAAAAGGCTGGTTATCAGCTGAATCTCGTAGCTCAGCTGGTAAAATTCCTCGTTAGTAATCCGTGAACTTCTGGTTCGAATCCTTCCACAATCTAAATTTTTATTTCAGCAGTAGCAATCTCCTCAAATAGTCTCATCAATATCACTATTAACTGTGTAGCATAGCAAGCAGTGTTTTAAACAGAATAGATTAAGATTAGTGTGATTACATGAAAGTATTCAGCAGTTTAAGTGGACCCTGTAGACATTTTGCGCACTGCCTATTGGTATTGACAGGACACGATCGGTTTCAACAACATACTGGTTTTAGAAAGATTGAGCGAAGATCCTCATCTCTGGCTCTACTCTAATATATATAGCAGTTTTATTACAATACACAACAGTTTACCAAACAAGTGGTGATATGTTTGTTAACAATAATTAAACAGTGTGAAAATGTCAATGGGTTGATAATTAACGAAGAAAATCAATACAAATTTAAAAGGTAGAAATGGATGATTCCGATTGCTTCAGCTGTCTGTAGAAGACGAACTCGTAGAGCAAAATATAGGATTAGTCGGAATGCGATAAATAATTTTGAATGCAGCATTAACATCAACATTATGCTCATTATCTACAAGGTGTGCTATAATAGAGCTAGTTGCGAATAGATCTTGTTTGTCCCTTGCTTAACCATGCTGGATGATGTTCGGAAATACGACGATGGAACTGCCTAATTGTACGCCCAATGTAGCTGGCTCCGCAGCTGCAGTCAAACTGGTAGACACACATAGAAGAGGCAAAATTAGGTAGTTTATCCTTATTTCTCGAAGAGAGAATAGGGGTGGTTTTGAAGAGACAAGGTACCTGTGCTGCATAATAAGCTCTTTTAACTGCATTCTTCAAGCGCTGTGTTATGATTTCACTGATGTTGTCACCGAGGAACTGCAATTTTATGAACATTGGTTTTTTCGAAACTGTAGCAATACTGACTCTCCTTGATGCTGAATTCATATTCTTCTCAATAAATTTATCTGGATAACCATTTTTTCTAAGTAGTTCTCTAATAATCTTAAGCTCCTCATTGAGGCAGTCGTCTGAACAGATTAACTTAGCTCTATGAGGATCTAATTGAAAAGTAAATATTTCTTCGCTCAATCTTTCTGTTTTCCAAATGTCTAAATGGGGATATTTTCTATACTGGTTTTAATCAAATGGACAAAATCTTTACTTGGTTGCTGCTGTAAATACTTTTCATCACAAACAAGATTTGCAGAATATATACATATTAAGTAGATTAGGCTGCAATAGCACAGCTCTGACAGCATAGCGAACCAGTGTCACATGCAAAATGCAGTTTCTGAGTCTAATACTAAACAGAAAGAATAGTATAAATCAAGTAATGATAGCCTACTGCTTGTGTAGTCTTATTACATAAACACACGTTTGTTGATAAACAGTATTTAAATGTTTACACTTACGGGTTCACTGTAAGTGAAAGTACTCCCGGAACGCGTATAAAAGTAAAATTTCGGTGATTCAGATGTACTATTTGAGGTGAATCGAGATTCAGTCACCAAAAGGTCATTTATATCTTGTATTGTGGAATCTGGAGGCAGTCTTTTAAATATCTCAGTGCAAATTGATTCTTTGGTATATTTATCCTGTTAATAGGAAGGAAAAGAAATCGAACTTATAAATAGTTTGGTGTAGTAGGCTGTAATGACTTAGTCAAATCAAATATAAGACATATTGTGGTTAATTGAGTTATAGACTGGAGGAACTTACAAGTCGTATGACGTAATTCATCTAAGCTGAATGAGTGACTTATAAACTTCATGTTAGTCTAGACCCCAAAAATACTTCATAGTGTTTTTTTAAATATAGTCCAAAATACCATATCTGTCAGTTATGTATTGTTCTCAGTGCCTTCTTATAACTCATTTCATACAACAAAGTCTGTTGTGATGTCACCGCAGACAACGCACCGTAGAAACTAAATCATAAGTGTCTTTTAATAGGTCATGCTTTAAAATTCATGGGTACTGTGAAGACAGCGAGCTTTCTCAACAGATAGTATAGTTTAAATGGATCGGTTTGTACAGAAATACTTCCTTAGACTGCTGAAATATTCTGCATATGATTGTGGTAGCATCCAGTGTCCCTATTATTCATAAGATGCTGATTAGTAGTCCTACGTGAGCTGGAAAATGTCCTTTACTTTCTTACCAGTCAAAATAAAATTTTCCCTTCCTACATTATAAAATTTATTTTGTTTAATTATTAATCTCCATTGAGAAATAAAGCAAAGATTGACTATGCCTAAATATTTTTGTGATTAGGTCTCACCGAACTGTCTGGATACTAGTTACTCAGTCTGTTATTGAAATTACTTTTATCTGAAGCTGTTGGTTGTTTAAAGATGTAGACCATTATTAACTTACCTTCTAACCCTACATTTATTCTTGAAATCTTAAGTGGTACCGTTTATAATTTATATATGTGTCAAACACAGAATAACTTAAACCTCATTAAAAAGTTTATGTTATATCTGAAAGTCAACAATGATGTAAATGAAATAAAAGGAGCATAGTGCATGAATATTGTTAAGTATACCAATATATCACTTGTTCGAATAAAACTCAAAGTAAATATTAATCATTTTCTACAGTTCGGTTTGTAACGGTTAGTTATGTTTTTACGAGTTGATCACGGTTTGATATCACTTAGAGAACCATTGAAAACAAGCAGGGAGTACTGAACAGCCAGCTGTTTCATCCTAGTTTGGGAATCATCGGCAGTACGCACCCGCTGGGATTCGAACCCAGGACTTTCCGATTACAAGGCAAGCTCGCATACCATTCAGCCCCTTGGGACCCGATTCAATGGCTCATGAATTCTAACTTCTACCAATTCGTGATTTGGAGCGACCCCAACCATTGTCGTTGCTGGGACATCCATCCACACATGTGACGTCTAATTAGACCTCAGTGGTCACGACTTCTCACTAGAACTCCAGGAAACTCCATCCTGTAACAAGTCATTAGCGAGCTTCAGGTTAATTTTCTATAGTTTGGTTTGTAAGGGTTAGTTATGATTTTACGAGTCGCGCTAAATCACGAATTGGCAGAAGTTGGAATTCATGGACTGGTCATTGAATTGGGTCCCAGTGGCTGAATGGTATACGAGCTTGCCTTGCAACCGGAAGGTCCTGGGTTCGAACCATAGTGGAGGGTGTGTACTGCCGATTATTCCCAAAGTAGGACGATGGAAACAGCTGTCTAGTACTCCCTGCTTGTTTTCAATGGTTCTCTAATTGTTATCAATCCGTGATCAAGTCGTAAGAAAAATATTAATCAGAGGAAATTCAATTTTATACTTTTGTGTAAATAAAGTTTTCGGAAACAAAAATCTACTGTGTTGGGTCTCTAACCGTTAAAAAAAATAATTTGCTGACTGAGGACATTGCATACGTTGGCCAATGAACTTATACGGCTAGCGTATTAAAATAAGTGATTCGGTATCGAAGGTCTTATTTTACAAAAGTAATTTGACTTTCGGAAATTTCACAGTTTGCTGATCAAATGTAACAACTATGGATCGGCAAATTCACGAGATCTGTAAGTCCGGAATCAATATTGATACAGAGTTTAGTTTCTGTACCTACTGGTGCAGTGATAGGGGGATCTTAGTCACAAGAATTAAAAAAGAAAAACTGGGATCAAAACAAGAATAGTGTAAGCAGAGAGACACCATATTTCTTCACATGCTAAAATAAGTACACTGTTGTTATTAAAACATTTCGTTTTCACCAACTTATTTCGTGTGTTGTCACTGGGATATGTGACAAAAAAAGGCAGTGTAAAATAAGTTAAGCACAGGAATCATGTTATATGTAACATGCTGTTAAACAATCTGAGAGGAATTAATAAACAACCTTTAACAAGTTGTCAATCTATTTTGTATGTTTTACATGGCTTACTAAAGGACATATATGTTGTTCATATATGTCAGCTAAGTATTTTATAGTATAGTATATTTTAATGTAAAATCAATACTGAACTAAACTAACTGTGTTATTTGATGTCACACCAAAGGTTCTATAATGCGGTGGAATTGGTTCATAGCATAAACTTTTTCTAGGACCAAGACCTAAACCCATTGAACGTAATGCCAACGATTGAATTGCTGCTTCATTGACTTGATCAGAAAGCTTTTCAGAATTAGAGGATTGGTGACTTTTGTCAGCATCATTCGGTGCATAATATGACATGTCGTAAATACTATCAATATATGTATATAGATCTCGATTTAAGATACGATGTATCAGCTTTTGAGCTTGTTGAATTCTTGGCTGAAAACTTTCTGTAGTAATTTGTGATAATAATCCTCTTCCGTAATAAATATCCCATAGAAGTGAATCATGAAGTTTAAGAAATTCGTCTAAATCATTTGGATTTTCACATTTCAGTGCTTTCATGGTAATCGAGCGAAGATTTAGCACGGGGTCTATTAATTCAAGAGCATCGATGATCATAGCCTGTAAAAAAGAGGGAATGAAATCCCTATTAGAGAAAACCATAAACAAAAAGAAATAGCATAGTAAAAACCCTTAAGCAAGTAGAAGTGGAACACACTTAGACAAGTGTGAGAACACCATCACTCACTGGGGAATGAAGGCACATCCAAATGACGAGTCCCAAATTGGACGAAACCCTCGTCCTGGATTCCACTGCTAGTCACCATCCACCAATTGACAAATAATTACATTAAAAATAAATACACGAAAAATTTAACAGACTTCACACAATGAAAAATATTATTCAGGTGAGTAGAATATTGGGAGGAAACTGTTAAATGTTTCAAATGTTCAGGTCATATGACGGACACATTTGATCAAGTATAGAACAAGTTCAATTGTTACAAGTATTACGCAAGAAAAAGTGCGATAAAAGTCGATAAGACTCTCATTTCAAGGTTGTCTGGATTTTATTTTAATTTGACGAAGTTAATTACTTAAAATACTTGGTTATTAGGTAGAAAAACACTGCAGATTCGTACTAAAATATGAGTAATCTAATTTCATGAATTCTTGATATGATCCTCCACATTTGAATATTTATATTGAGAAGATATTTCTTCCGGATAAGTCTCTACCTACTACTTTGATGTATTTATTGATGTAAGAAGCAGCTATGAATCAATGGCTACTAGTTTTTATAGGTTTGAACTTTGTACTCATGTGAAATCAAACAACGTCATTAAATAAGACAGCGGTTCTTGAGATTAAATAATATGGTTTAGATAAAAATTGTTGCAGAAGGTAAAAATTACTGGTTAAAATAGTAGTTACTGAATTCAGATTTGAACATTGATACTCCACATACTTGGTGATTTTTGCAACAACAAAAAAGTTCTTAGGCTTCATTTCTCAAGTAATAGTGTTAGGTAAGAAGGGGAGAGTCAATCGATGTGGCTATACAGATGATAACTCTAACAGTGTGTATGGGAAGAGAAGAACAGTGTTACAGTCATATATCCCACTTCACATTATATAAGTGAATTGTTTTATCTTAATGTCATTTCAGTGAAACATTTTCATCGCTAGACAAAAGATGACTCCTTACTGATTAACAGAAAAGCGGTCAAATATTCAAACTTACTGATATGGCTGTAACAGTTTTATGCTGATATACTTTTTGATGAAGATGTTGTCGTAAACTGAATGTACGAAGTAAATTTTCTAATTCAGTATCTTTAAATGATAAATGCCAACTATTTGATTCACCGTCATTACACTTGTCTCTATCAGTATGCATAAATGGTCGATAAAAACGTAAAAATCTATCAACATCTACATTCGCTCCACTGGTGCCCAGGCCAGCGTACAAACAATCACGAAGCAAATAATCCCATTTATCAACGTCCATACCATTTAAACTGTTAGAAAGTATCTGAATGTATCAGTAGAAAATACAAACTGTTACTACCTGCAAAATAGTTCTGATCAATAAATGAAATTCATGTTATAATTGTCAGTAGTATCAGTTAAGAAGCCTATAATAAAACCTTATTTAGATCTATTTAATTGAATTTTAGATTTTCCCGTCGATTGATTGGACCGAAGTGCTCGGTCTCAGGTTGACATGTCGGCTTCTTGTGCAGATGCTTCGACGATGTCTGGACATGTAATTAGAAGTTAATTGGTGGATAGTGACTAGCAACGGAATGCAGGGTGCGCACTTCGTCCTATTTGGGACTCGTCATGATTCCATTGCTAGTCACCATCCACCAATTAACTTCTAATTACATGTCCAGACATCGTCGAAGCATCTACACAAGAAGCCGAGGTGTCAACCTGAGACCGAGCACTTCAGTCCAATCAATTGACGAGAAAATCTAAAATCCAATTAAATAATTAATGTAACCCGTTGCACAAGAGGTGGCTCTCGTGGCCCAAGTGGTCTAGTGGATAACGCTCTGACATTTGAAACTATGGGCATTGGGTTCGAGACTCAGTGGGAACACCATCACTCACTGAGGAGTGATGACGAGTCCCAAATAGGACGAAATGCGCATTGTCCTGGATTCCACTGCTAGTCACCATCCACCAATTAAAATCTTTTTATTTAGATCATTCTTATATTACCTAATTAATCGTCTAAACTTGACAAACCTCATGTACATACACACACAAATAATTATATATAAATGCGATTGTACAGCTGTATGAATTAATTCACCGAAAAGAGTCTCTTCGCTGAACGTCTTCTCTTTTTCAATACCTTAGTGCACGACTTAGACTACATGCTGCCATAAATCATAATATTAGATTAAATTGGTATATTTGTTGCACTAGATGGTAGATGAATAATAATGGTAATAAATACATTCATATTACTACGTAACAGCTTTTTAACAACTATTTGTGACAACTCATCACTTTTTTGTTACTACTCTACTTTCATTAACATCCAATTTTCTTGACCATTTTTGTCTTACGTAACTCCACTCGAAACTTACAAATTCTCACCCCATCCCCTCCCTTTAGTTAAAATAACCAAAACCAACTGTATTTTTATTTGAGAGAATTAATGTACACATACATACAAAATAACCTATATATATTTATACGAGTTTGACCACGGATTGATATCAGTTAGAGAACCATTGAAAACAAGCAGGGAGTACTGGACAGCCAGCTGTTTCATCCTAGTTTGGGAATCATCAGTAGTATGCACCCACTGGGGTTAGAACTCAGGACCTTCCGGATATATATATATATATATTTGTGATTGTACAGCTAAGAAAATGAATTCGCCGAAAAGAGACTCCTCGCTGAACTACGGGTTTTGTATTCATTAATAAATAATACTCCATCACTGCTTTATTTTTCAAATAAATTCTATATTGAGAAATAACTGACATCTCTACACTAAACTCTGTGAACAAATACACTTCACAATACTATTTCAAGGAATGATAAGGTTGATAAAACGTTGTAAATTAGGATAGATTAATAGTGTTTCAATGTCACTGATTTTGTTTTTATTCATTAAACACATATATCCAGCATTGTGCACTTACTTGGTTCAGATGCGGGGTTGTATGCTTATCGGTGTGAAGAGAAATCAAATCTTATACCTCGTTATAAATTGTATTTCCTCTTAATACACAATATCAGTATCGAAAAATTAGAAAATTATTAGGTAGCTTGATAAAAGAAATTCTTCTATATTTGGAAGTTTTACCAGGCAAATAAGAATATCAGAATGAATATTATTTTCATCTTTGTAGATTTATGAAAACTTTTTTTTGTTGATATGATTACAGGTTCGATCACGAGTTGATATCAGTAACAGAGCCATTAGAAAACCATGGAGTACTACTGGACAGTCGTTTCCTTGTTGTTTAGGACTCACCATCAGTATGCGCCCACCAGCGTTCGAACCCAGACTATTCAGCCACCGGAATCCGATCCAATGGCCCAAGAATTCCAGCGTCTACCGATTCGCGATATATATATATATTAGCGCAACCGCCAACCACTTTCATAGGTGAATAACTGTTCTCTTATCTGACTTGGTGGACCCTACTGATTACGACAACTATCACTAGAACTCTCCAGGTAACCTCCTGTTGTATAAAGCTAGTGGCTAGCGTGCATCAAATTAATTATCCAGTTTTATATGAATAGAATGCTATCAGTTGATATAAGCAAAAAACTTCGTATTCGTTCTGTGATAGTTGGAATTTTAATGAACATGAACAATAAAACATGAATAACACGAATGCAAATGATATACAAAACATAACTGTCTACTGAGGAACTCTTTATAAGTGACTTCTTATGAATGAATAATAAAATTCGGTTTTTTTCAGTAATCACCTTAAGGTAATATTTAATGGACCTCGTCTTTCCAACTCATATCATTTATAGGTACAACATTTTCTTTCTTTCTTTTCCTTTTCTCTCTCTCTTTTTTTCTCCGTTATGTGCTGCTTTGTTTCTTTCTTCCGCTTACGCCAGTAAATATGACAGCACCTACTTTTCTAACACCTTCAAACACTGTTCAGCTTTGGCTTTGCTACCGACATGCCAATATGTTGTTATTGTCATAATGAACTGAGATTTCCTTAATCTATGTAGAATTCTATTTATTGATAATGTACTAACTGGATGCAATACTGTAGTAAAAATGCTGAGAATTCCATTCTGTATCACAAGTACTGTTTTGGAATAAAGCAAATTATTATTATTAAATGGAAGGATGAATTCTTTTAGCCCTCACCTTTATGTAGTTAAAATTTAGTACTAACTGGGAAAGAGGCCTAAGTTGTGTTTTTTGAAATCTTAAATCATATATTTCAGTGATAGTTCTCACAGAATGAATAAATAATGCATGAAACGAAAAGTCACCAGCAGATAAATAATTCAGATAATAATAATAACAATAATAATATTAACTGAACAACAAACTACATGTTCTCATTACAATGAAAACAGTTTACACAAGGACAAGGACAACATAGACAAATGAACATTTTACACAAAGTCTACTTAAAATGTTTCAATTTTACTTTTTTTTCCTGTAGTAAAAATGAACATTTTGACTAAGAAATAAATACTTCGACATTATATCATTGTGCAAATAATTATCATTGTGTATTTCAACTTTATGTTTAGTTTAGTTATACGATGCTGGAAACAAGGACATAGTTCAATTAGATGAACAAGCTTTCCAATGTAAATTAGTGATCAGTTATTATGTATATATTTATGTTGTTTGTTTGTTTGTTTATTGTAGACAAGAAGTGTTGCCCAAAAATGTTTGTTTAGTGTAACTGGTTTTCAAATAAAATTAACATGAACAGGAGTATAGGAGTGGAATTACACATAGAGTTGAAATACGTGTATATACATTTGTATTTTTTTTAATTTTTGATTACAGCTTGATTCCACACCGTATTTTTTGGTACACGTATGGAATTTTCAGCATGTGATATCGGTAGCCCAAATTTTGCAGGCCGACCATAGATATCAGGAGTGCGTCGGCAGGGGATCGAACCCCGCACCATGTGCATGGTCGGCGAGAGTACTAACAACTGTGCCACCGACGCACACATATAGTATCATGCACCAATACTTGCCTATCATGATTGCCATTTATAATATCAAGCAGATCAGTATAGTGTGTGTGTGATCTGAATAATTCCAGTTTTCAAAAGAAAATTAATTTTCTATAGTTGGTTTGTAAGGATTAGTTTTGTTTTTACGAGTCCCGCCGACGACATTGGTTGGTGGTCGCGCTAAATCACGAATTGGTAGAAGTTAGAATTCATGGGCTGGTCATTGAATCGGATCCCAGTGGCTGAATGGTATCCGAGCTCGTTAGCCTTGCAACCGGAAGGTCCTGGGTTCGAACCCTGGTAGTGGGTGCGTACTGCCGATGATTCCCAAACTAGGATGAAACAGCTGGCTGTTCAGTACTCCCTGCTTGTTTTCAATGGTTCTCTAACTGATATCAATCCGTGATCAACTCGTAAAAAGAAAATTAGCTGAAATCTCACCTCGAACTGTGTAATTCGCAAATTGCTAGTTTGATTTTCACTGTGATATCTCTTAGTAACTAACTGGTAGTTTAAGTTAGAATAAGTGTTCCATGCCAGTTGATAATCCTCTAGCTAGATTTATTTAGATTTTAATGGATCTGAAATCTAATGACACACATACAACGTATATAAAATTTAACTCCAAAAATCTTTTTTCCCTACCCCCATCCTTGACATGATCACTCATCCATCTGAAGTTTATAATCAATATGAATGGAACTTTATGTGAACATGACTCATGAAAATTTATTACTACACATTCGTTGTCATTCATAATCATTTATTTTGTAATATTGGTGTTCAATTTAGTGTTACAATTATACATATCACCACATATATTCTGGACTATAATCTATTAACAATCTAATTGCAAATAACTTTTGGAATTCTGATCTAAATGATTCGATGTTACTCTTTTAAAAACCACTAATGTTGTCAATAACAATCATTCTTTCATTATTATGGATTTAGAGTTGAATTGCCAACCCTTTCTTCATGAAAACATTAAAACAAGTATTTAATTTAATTTTAGATTTTCCCGTCGATTGATTGGACCGAAATGCTTGGTCTCAGGTTGACATGTCGGCTTCTTGTGCAGATGCTTCGACGATGTCTGGGCATGTAATTAGAAGTTAATTGGTGGATGTTGACTAGCAGTGGAATTCAGGATGCGCATTTCGTCCTATTTGGGACTCGTCACCACTCCTCAATGAGTGATGATGTTCCCACCGAGGCTCGAACCCAGTGCCCATAGTTTCAAACGCCAGAGCGTTATCCACTGGACCACTTGGGCCACGAGAGCCGCCTCTTGTGCAACAGGTCTTACTAATTATTCAATCTATTATTAGATTTTCCCGTCGATTGATTGGACCAATATGCTCACTTTCACCGGGGAATGCAGGTGCATCCAGATGACGAGTCCCAAATAGGACGAAATGCGCATCCTGGATTCCACTACTAGTCACCATCTACCAATTAACTTCTATTAAAACAAGTAGTTCACTGAAAGAGGCTCTTTTCGACGAAATGATTTTCTCTAGCTGTACAATCGCATTTATATACAATATTTTTTTTCACAAAAGAAGATACTGACAAAAGTGATGAGTTGTCATAATTCTAGTTGTTAATCAGTGCATAAGGGGAATTGAATAAGGATGCTAGAATTGCAATTGTTTCAGTAGGAATATTTCTTATAATATCTTAAAATGTTTAATAAATATCTTATTTCTCTTAGTACACTTCCGTTAATAGGCTAAAGATTTCTTGTACTCTCCTTATTAGGATGCCTTTATAATTCAGGTCATCTAAATAAAAGTGAGGATAAAGAGAAATACAGCTCATTCTTTATTGACGGTTCTTGAGACAAGCAGACTGTGTATGGCCGAGTAGGGAGGAGGAACCACCGATATTTGAGGAGGCCATAGAGTTAAACGTAAATGCCAAGGTGACGTATGCACAAATGAGATATTCCGACTTACATCCACTCTTTAAATATTATTCCTCTGGGCATAAATTAGCGAAAGCTGTCTCGTGTTGACCCGGTATGTTGCATATTTGAAGGTTATGTACCTACGACGAAGTGATAATCAGACTATGAGACTACTAACTGTTGAATATATAAACAATTCTGAAATAGCCATTGTGAAGGCTACTCAATGGGAAGCATGGGGAGAAATTGCTAATGAGGATAGTCCTGACTTCGCCAACTTCAAAGTACGAATGGACAGGTTAACTCCGATAATCTTAGACGGAGTCGTTAGAGGCGCCATGTGAGACCCTCCACCCAGCCTTATTGCCCAACGACCACCCAGTCATTACGCTTATAGTAAGACATCACCATGAACTCGAGGGTCATTTGGGCACATCCCAAGTATTGCAAAGCATCCGACGAAAGTATTGGATAGTAAAAGAAGGGGCGGCAGTGCGGAAGATAATTAATAATTGCGTTGACTGTAAACGTCGGAACGCTAGTACTGTCCAGTAGATTATGGCCCCACTTACAACGTGGCAGGTGTCTGAGGGTAATTGTCCGTTTGAGTATGTAGGAGTGGATTTGTTTGGACCTTCCATGGTGAGGAGAGGTAGAAATTCGTGTAAGAGGTATGGCTGCTTGTTTACATGTTTGAAAATGAGGGCTGTGCACATCGAAATGGTCCATACGCTAATTACTGATTCGTTTATTCTGCCACTGCTAAGGTTCATAAGCTGTCGAGGTACACCAAAGATGATGTTCAGTGATAGAGGAACTAACTTCATCGGATGTCACACAGAGCTCATAGGGCGTACTTGCGATCCCCGCACGAAAGTTCATGAAGAGCTATTGAAAAGGAACACAGAGTGGCTTTTCAATTCACCACAAGCCAGTCACAGAGGAGGCTTTGGGAGAAGCTTGTCGGGATTGGTAAGGGTGTTTTAAGTTCTATCGTTAAAAATTAAGGCTTGACTGACGAGACCCTGGAGACGTTTTTATGTGAAGCAGAGAGAATTCTGAACGACCGACTGCTTTCGCCGGTAAGAGACGATGTGAAGGATTTCGAAGTTTTAACTCCGAATAAGCTGCTATTATTGCGAAGTAATCCCGGTCTAGGAGGAGGGTGCACAGAGCCGAGACCTATGGTCAGAAGGTGGAGACAAGACAAACATCTGAAGGATATGTTTTGGAAGAGATGGTCCAAAGAGTATATACTAACACTGCAGTCAAGGGATAAATCGAGGAAGACATGTCGAAACCTACAAGTTGGTGATGTAGTCTGAATGGCGGATAAGAATTTTACAGATAAATGGACTCTAGGAGTAATAGAAAGAGTGATTTGCAGACCAAATTGCTCATTGTTCACTGGGGAATGCAGGTACATTCAATGACGAGTCCCAAATAGGACGAAATGCGCATCCTCTAAATATTTCTTATAAAATCTTAAGATGTTTAATAAATATCTTATTTCTCTTAGCGCACTTCCGTTAATAAGCTAAAGATTTCTTGTACTCTCCTTATTAGACTGCCTTCATAATTTAGGTTATCTGAGTAAAAGTGATGATAAGGAGAAATCCATTTTATTCTTTATCGCATTGATTTTTGGTTCACTTGCTTCATTCAACAAATAACAAAACTTTAGAATCATCCCTATTTTATCTGAATAGCCTTTATGAACTATTCGGATGAACAAAGGGAAACTATTATTCAATATGGAGGAAATAAGAACCTAGGTTTACACCCAATCAGTCTTCTACTATATCAGAAGAAAGGTATTCGCCTTATTTACACACATTATTTAACCCTAAAACAAGTGTAGGATGAAAAATCTTGAATCGAATATATCTGGACATTTTGAAAAACACATACTTGGTTAAGTTCTGTCACAAAGTGAGATCAAATTCGTGGAAACAAACACTTTGAAAATTAATATAATGCTCATTAGTGAATAATTACAGGATAAAGTTGCCTGGCGTTCTAGTGAAAAATTGTGACCATTGGAATCCAGTTAGTCGGGAAAATACTAGCAGATGACATTGACTAGTAATATCGGTATATATCACGGATCAGCAGAAGTTGAAATTTATTGGATTCTATCCCAGTATCTGACTAGTCGGTGGGCTTGCCTCGTAACCTAACGGTCCTGGAATCATGGGTGCGTACTGCTGGAGAGTCTTAAACTAGGACGAAATGGCTGTCTAGTACTCCCTCATTTCCAATAGTTCTCTGATTGATGTAAGTTAGTGATCTGAATTTAAACCAATCAAATCCCTGAGAAACAACACTTGAAAATATATGTTTTAGTCTACCGCCAGAATTAAAACAACTAATCATCATAATAATATATAATCAGTGTTTTCTGTATAATAACAAAAAGAAGATATGTGTAAGCGAGGGCAGTCTATTATCATTTCAAGTATAACTGATTAAATACAAAAACTGATACAATACCCCGGTGGGTGCGTACTGATGAAGAGTCCCAAACTAGGACGAAACAGCTGTCCAGTACTCCCAGCGTTTTCCAGTGGTTCTCTAACTGATGTCAGCTCATGATGAAATCCTCCATGCAATCAAATAAAAATCCCTACAAAACCAATACTTGAAAAACAAGCAACTTAAACACCAAAACAACCATTCGATCTGATGAAGTCATGTTCATCAGTGTAATAGACCTATTTGTTCCAACAAAATTATTCATTTTATCTAAATTTATATGGGGATAACATGTAAAAATGTCAATTTAAAAAAAATAAGTAATCTCTTCTTGGAAATATTCTTGTATATTCCCGAAAATTAAAAACAAATTGTGACGGGCTACAGGATGGAGTTTACCGGAGTTCTAGTGAGAAGTGGTGACCAGTGAGGTCCATCCAGTCAAGTGTGAGGATAGATTTCCCACCGATGATACTGGTTGGTAGTCGCGCTAAAATCACGAATTGGTAGAAGTTATAATTTATGGGCCATTGAATCGAGTTCCAGTGGCTGAATGATATAACCGGAAGGTCCTGGGTTCTAACCCAGTGGGTGCTTACTACCGATGATTCGCAAACTAGGATGAAACAGCTGGCTGTCCAGTACTCCCTGCTTGTTTTCAATAGTTTTCTAACTCACATTAATCCGTCATCAAACTCGAAAAACAAATTAAATCCTTACAAATCAACTCTTGAAAATAAAAACAAATTGTCGATGAAAAAAAAACGATAACTCACTTCATAAATAAAAGCTTTCTGTTTCAATGGATTCTGTTAACAAAGAAATAACATACAGTGAGTAATGTAATATAATATGAATACTAACACTATTTATTTCAAAGCAATGAATTCCTCTAAACTTTAAATCAGTGAAAGAATGAAGTATAAAGGTATCAGTGACATTCAGATAAATGACAGACAATAAATACAAGAAGTAATTTAAGCTGTGTACAGTCAAAATAAACTTCTAATATTACAAATTCATAATTATTATGACCTTTGAGTTTGTACCTGAGTATATGTGACTTGATATACAGTAATCTCACATTGTTAGCTGAATAAAATACTCATGGTTTTAAGTGTGTTACTAAACATCTTTCTATTGGATCTGCAATTTCACAAAGAGGCACTGTGACACGATGACAACAACAATAATACATACTATTAGAATTAATTAATCATATTAGACAGGGGTTCATTAACGGTGTGAAAAGCCTGGAGGCATATTGGCTGAGTTATGCAGATTTGAAACACGGAAACAGTAGTACGTTTTCACGAAAAGTTTAAAATCCATCTTGTTCATGAGTGCCAAAAATGCCTGAAATTAAGTTCCCATGGTTGTATTCATTCTAACATCTTTTATATCTCACTTACTATGAAGAAACGATACCAAAAAGGGAAGTGGTATTTTGAGAAGCTCTCTGTCTATATGACTGGTCGATAGGTGAATGTTAAAGCTTTTGTATTACGAGTGCAAATATAAAGAGACGAATTAACTTATACTGGACCTTTGTCCAGACAACCTGCGTAAAGTAATAGTCGTACAAGCGATACGTTTTGAAATAATAGCGAAGATTTGTAGCTCAGGTGGATGATTTGCAATTAATAGTGTTCTCTGAGCTGGTTGGTTTAGTTGTGGAGCTTTCATCATCAAAGACCACAAGAAAATTCATTCTACCATACATGAGAAATATCTCTGAAATAACAGCTAGAATACTGAAACCGTTTGATATAGATATAGCACACAAGCCAGTAAAATCGCTGAATTCGATATTATGCAAACCGAAAGATCCAACAGAAAAAGGGGATAAAATTAATACCATTTACAAAATAAATTGTATGAACTGCAACAAGCATTACATCGGCCAAAGTGGGCGTCCCCTTCGAATCAGAATCCAAGAACACGAATCAGCCGTGAAAAGACACGATATGTATTCTTTAGTATCAATGCATATAGACAATTATGGTCATCAATTTGATTGGGATAATGTCAAAATCTTAAACAGAGGAAACACCAAAAGTGCCAGGGAATTCCAAGAAGCCTGGTACTCAAACGAAAATGCAATTAACAAGCACGTTAATATAGACGAAATATACCAACTCATAAAAAGTAAATCAGGTGACCAGAAAGTTTAAAATCCAAGTCAATAGAAAATGGTCAATACATATGTAAAGATAGTTACCAGGAGACGCAATTATATCACTCATGAAGAAATTTAAATCATTTCACTTTGTGCTAAATATTGCGCTGAAGATGTTGTCCAGAAGGACGGCGGAAAGCTCCGCAACTAAACCAACCAGCTCAGATAACACCATTAATTGCAAAGCGATACGTTTGTTAGTTACAGACGCACGCCATTCAACGACTCATAAAGTTCAGATAGGCGATTTTAAATCCAGAAAATGAAGTGTTACCTCATTTATGAACAATTGACTATCACTCCTGAAACATCAACTATAACAAAATGAGCAAGACATCAAAATTTAGTTACTGGATACTATACTATGCAAATATATCAAAAAATAATTTCCCAATGCTAAATAACTCCAAATAAATTTACTGATTAGGACAAATTTGATTCATTGATATCCAGAGTTCCACTTTTTCTAATTTGAATAACCCTAGAGATTATGAAAGTCTTCAGTGATTAACACATATATTTTCTGATCAATTTCAATTATCAACGCCATATATCACCAGATACAAATGTTACGTATACATCCAAACTCTTATCACTTTAGATTTGAGGTCACAGTTTCTTATTGAAAATCAAAATTGACCCGATTATCGAACGCTTACAAAATGTACTTTAAAATGAAAGTTTATATGGTTTCTGAAATAGGTATAAAGACAAGCTAACAGTTTTTGTTCTGTGGACTATTTTGTCCCATGACTTGTGGACAAACAAATTCATTGATTGTTATTAGCATGATATAAAATTTATTTGGATAAATAGTAATTATTTTATTTCAAAAAGATATAATAATTTTTATTTGGTTGCGTTCTCTGAAACAGTCGATTTAATTGCGAAGCTTTCATTGTCCATCTAGACAACATCTTCAGTGCAAGCTGTAATATGAAGTGAGCTTATTTGAATTCCCTAAGAATGATATAATTGTATCTTCTGATAACCTTTGTCGTGATTAGTGGTTGATTTACACCTTCAGAGATCATTTTTATTAACTTGGAATTTGAACGTTTTTGTCATGTGATTTATTTTTTATTGACTGATTAAAAATGCCCATTAAATTTTTTAAAAGAATGGTTACTGAACAAAGAATATTCTTTTCAATAACTTCATCATCAGGTTATACAGTTATATATCCATAATAGTGAATAAATTAGTGTTATGAACAACATTACTGTTTAAATAACATCGAATCAATAATAATATCAATAGATTAAAGTTCAGTAGCATCAACAAAACACTACACTGAATATCAGAAAAATTAGGAAAGATAACAATACGAATTCATGAATTTACAGTCTCCACTGAAGGTCAGCCAGGGCAGTAGTAGTGGCTAGATTTGCTTCTTCTGCACACACAGCACTGGTTGTTTCACGCAAATCCCGACAGCCTCTGCTGTTTGCAGTACGCAGTACCTGAATGTTTTTGACAATTTACTTGGTACCCGGTAGATGATAGACAAGGATTTTTCAGTACTGGCTTTGTTACCGGTTTGGACCAGGTGGTCTAATATCGAGCCACTTACATAGGTCGTACAATTAGGCGTGTTTCTCGTTGGATTTCCGAACATCACCCTGTGTGGTTAAGTAAAGGACAAGTAAAATCTATTCGTAGCGCTATTCTATCTCATCTTGTGGATACAGAACACAAGATTGATGTTAACCAGGCTTTCAGAGTCATTTACCGCACGCCAATAAATCTTAATTTCGCCTTAAGAGTTCGATTACTAAATATTTCTGAGGCTGTTGGGATCCACATTAAGAAGCCTAATTTGTGCATCCAAAAGAAGCTAGTTCAGACATTATCCTTACCTTGGTCATCTAGGTTTGAATGATCCTGAATTTTTGTGGAATTTTCCTAATTTTAGTTGATATTCTATTTGCTATTATATCTTTATTATTATAATTCAAGCATCTTTAATGAACTGTAATTCCATTTATCTTACTTTACAAATCGATATTATTAAAAAAAATTTATATTTTTATTGACTACTATTCTAGAATATTCTATGTATATAAATATATATATATAATTGTAGAGCCAGAAGAGGAAATTATCGAAAAGGATATTCTTAGCTCAATTATTTCGTGTTTATGGTTTTTACTACACCTTTACTTAGCCATACTGGGAGATGTCTCCGAGCACGAAAAGTGAAGTTTCTAGAGCAGCGGCCAATATAACTTACTCCACAAGCGCAGTTGAATTGCTGGATACACTCAGAAGTGGCTAGTCTAGGTAATTCATCTTCCAATTGAGAAATCACCATCGGTAAATTTGATCTATAGTAATATGTCTATTAATCGCTGATTCACCTGAGTACCAGGCTTCTAGAAATACCCCTTGTATTATTGGTGTTTCCTCTGTTTAAAATTTCTACATTCTCCCAATCAAATGATAGTGTTTAGGAGATATAGGCTTGATTTGCAAAACATGATTTGAAATTTTTAAAAGTTATCGAACAACTCAAAGTATGGATAAATTATCGGAATTGTCTTATCTGGTTTTCAATAGTCATTTTATTTAACGATAAAAACCATTTTAGAGATAGTCGAATGTAAGTGACTTACAAAATATTTGAAAATAAACACGAGAAAGATAAGAAAGACAAAATGAACCTTCAAACAAACAAAAGGTTGACAGCATAAAAGACATTGGTAAGCTGTTCAAACACATTAGAATAAATGTGTCTACACGGAGAGTGGCAACTCGAACTGCATCATATCTGTGCAAAGTTCTGTGTTGAAACCAGCCAGTTAGTCAGTCAATCAGTCAGTCTAGATTCTAATTGACTGATAATCCTATATTTGAACAGCATGGTAAAAAGTGTTATCCCGTCAGTCAACAAAACCATATCTCAGACTTATTATACAAGATATTTGACAAGAAAAAGAAAACAATATACATATAAAAATTAAGTGAATTACTCACGTTAACTTTCGACTAATAATTACCTGATTCGATAATACAGCAGCAGAGTCACCAAGAATAAGACTGTGAATAAGTTTCATATCAACATTCAAATGATTTAATTCATTTTTTAAGCCAGGCTTTGAATTGACAATTTTATCAAATATATGGCAAGTGACTTTTTCATGCTATAAAATCAGTCAGAAAAACAGAAAAAAATTGCACATCATACTATTTAAACTTAAGTAATTGAAGAATTGCTTGAAAAGACATTCAAATAATGGTGACAAGGCAGAAGATATTTATAAATGAGTCATTTTAAAAGAATGTTTTAGAAACTAAGCCAAAGATAATCCTGTCCAGAAACTATTTATCAAGCACACTAGTGTAAACCTAGGTTACACTGTAGAAGAATGTTAGAGCTGTGAAAGAAGCAACTGCAAAACAGTCTGATTTCTTTTATTTCATTCTTATACTAAGAAAATAACTGTTTCAGACTTTGAATTTTACAACCAAGAAGCAAAGCATCACTGGTTTTTGGAAAAGGTGATTTGAAAACACAAACAAAAAATAACCCTTGTAATTAAAAAAAACAAAATACAAAGGATGTCATGTGTGAACAAATTGAAAGTACCATGATTTAAACACTGGATGGCCGTTTCACGAGTTTGGGGTCGATCATAATCAGCGAGTGCTTCTGGTTGAAATAAGTCGTATAAAACTACTCATTTCAACCAACCAGTAGTATGTAGTACCAGACATTAATGTTTGATTTCTTGTTTACCATTTATGGTATCAAGCGTATTCCATATTGTTGTGGCGTGTGCTACTGATAAGACTTATCAGTAGTATAGAAAGAGACGATCATCGACATAAAAACATCAAATAGCAGGAAGATAGATTTGAAATCAGTGTTGCGGAGATACATGCGAGGCGTGAAAGGAACACAAAGAAAGACAATATGAAGGAAAGGCAGATGGAGCACAACACGGAAGATCTTTGCAAATAATGATTTGAAGATAAGGTGTATATAACTTTGTTTTTTGATTATAGCTTGATTCCACACCGTATTTTTGGTACAAGTATGGAATTTTCAGCATGTGAGATCGGTAGCTCAAATTTTGCAGGTCAACAATTGATATCAGGTACGCTTCGGTAGGGGATCGAACCCCGGACCATGTGCATGATCGGCGAGACTCCCAACCACTGTGCTACCGACGCACTTCACTAAATAGAGATACCTGATTGCTTTCCAAAATCTTCCGTCTTGTACCGTTACATTGTGATCTAAATAATTTCAGTTCCCAAAGAAAACTAAGGTTGAATTTCACTTCCTTTAACTGTGTAGATGGATCATTTGCTTTAAAAGTGGTACCTAGATTCTAGACTTACTTGTCAGCAGACTTCTACAGACTGAATCAATGAATCGACAATTTGTTGACTGTCATTTTCCTCAATAGTACTACTTACCAGTTTACACTTACATTAACAGAAGAAAATGTATTAGGGTGAAGTGAAAGATAATTTTAAGCCTGAGTTTTAGAACAGTTATGATAAATATAATCATGTGAGTTAACGTTACATTCGTAAGTACTCAGTCCACCACAGAGTGGACACAAGACATAAAATTAGCATATAAATAAACTTTACAACTGTCGGGAGACAGAAGGCTTCAAACATAATTTCGTTTGTAGCAGACAAATAAAACTTATTTTTTGGAAATATTTTATCACTTTAATAGAAAATCAGAAATTTCATTCTCCTCTACTTCAAATAACTAAAATTATTGTTTTACAAATGTTTTAACAGTTATTCACTCAATGCCTTCTGGTACTACTTATTTCCTCCACACAATGTATTTAAGAACAATTGTTTTTAAAAAAATCATATGTCATGTTTAAACGGATTTAAATCTCATGGTTATTAAAATAGATATTTATTATTATTTATTATTTTATTCCTTTAAATTCCGAGTGGAACATAGGGCCTCAAGTTAGAGCTTTGAAGTTTCAGCAGCAATGGTTTTATTTTTCTTACGGGGTGGGGTTGCTAGCCCCACGCCCAACCTTCCCTCTTTACCGGTCTTACTATTGGCTTAGCAAGGTTTAGGAGTGCGTTGGCTGAGGATCGAACCTCGGACCACGTGCATGGTTTAAAATAAATCACAGTTAATGAATTAACAAGTAAAATAAATAACAGAAATGGATGATAAGTAGTTTTGCCTTGTTTTCATTTATTTATTCGAAAATACACATTTTTTAAATCAATGAATACCTGATGTTCAAATTTCTTCAAACTATTAAGTATGAACTGTATATTAATAAAAAAAAGTATTTAGTTTTAGAAAGGAAAACATCTTATAATTCTGCTGTTTAACTGTCTAATATATACGTAAGGCATTCAGCAATGTGCAGTTTTAAGCCAGTTCGTTTATTATACATATAACACAATGAAACAGTATTGTTCATTGGATTCAAACAATAATATTATCTGACTATGTAATACATGCTTCGATAGTTCAGTGATAGAACACTTGCTAACCTCGTACGTGTGGTCTGGAGTTCAATTTCCGGTCGACACACTCCTAAAACTCACATAGCCGGGAGTAAGCACGGTAAGGGAGGAGTGAAAGTTTGTGGGAATGAGTCTGGCAATCCCACACCTTCAAAAAAAGAACACTGAAGCTTCAGACCTCAAGCTTGGAGCCCTATGTCCAACTGGGAATACAAAGAGAATGAAAAAACTACCTGATTTAGCTGGTAAAGGAATCAGTACGGAATTTGACACTATTTTCAGAACCCTTGAGAACCTTTAAATGACAAACATATGCCATGCTAATGTAGTGCATCTTTTATTAGTTGGTACAGGTGTTTTTGGTGGAATCAATGGAATGAAATAAATTCAATATTTTGCTGTAAATAGTGTTCTGATAGTGTTGTTTGGATAGACTCATCAAACCAAGCATATACCTAAATTCAATATTATCTCAGATAATCGGTTGGCCTTCTAAATATGTGTTAAATTTTAATTATATCCATAGAATAAATACCTCGTAATTAGCTTTCTTCAAATAATTTCTGAAATCTTGGTTGGAATGCAAGGAAACAGAGTTAATTTCCAATGGAATTTTCAAAATGACAACATAGAAGTATGACTGTAACGACTAAGGCAAAACAAAGTACTGTCATCCAAGTACTCAAGTCTGAAAGAAAAGACTTAGTAAATCACTAGGAATTACAAGATATCGAATGGCAGGTAACTTTAAAATATGCATACATACATGATCAAAGTAGGGAAAAACCTAAAATTTTTAATGTATAAGACACGAAGATATTGCTTTTATTATTATTGAAATAAGCAATTAAATTTAACATTCACTTTCATCAGGTAACTGTGACTCTTCTTTCCAAGCTACTCTTCGTTGAATATCCAAGATCAAAAGTCAATCTTTTTGACTAATTATCCTTGCATAAAGTATTTGCACAATCCTTAGTTGTCTAAAAACTAAAAGTCACACAAATTCGATATTTGAACACTTTTCAAATTATTTTGTATTCAAGTTATATTTAATCTAAAGATTGTTAATGTTAAAAGAGACAGTCTGTGGATTTCATGGATTTCCAAGTTATAAATTGAGTAATTGCAATGAAGACAACAAAATGTGTACACTAGGATAAGTGTGATAATATCAGAGGAAAAGCAACTAAAGATGGTGTACAAATGCTTAGGTGTATAACAAATATGTCATGAAAGGAAAAATTTGTTTACAGATCATGAAAACTAATAATGAGTTCAATTCATATATTAAGACGTAAAAAATGACGACACAGCAAATTAATAACTTAGATTGAGTATATTATTTAGTCACCGATTATATAGCCACTTCATCATCGGGCAACAGACTAGTACTGCTTAAAAATAAGTGAAAGTGGGAAGTCGTGATCAGTAGGGTGTAGCAGGTCGCGTGTGAGGACAATTACTTGCCAACGAAGACGTTGGCTAGCGGTTGCGCCATGTCGTGAATTGACAGAAGTTAGAATTCATAGTGTGGTGAAAGCTGGCTGCTAGCCAAAGTTGGTAGACAATAATTGACGTCAATGTTTATGTTATTTTTTAAATCATGGAAAATTCCCATTGTAACATATAGAAAATCAAAACAAATGATTCAGCGAAGAGACTCTTTTCAACGAATTTATCATCAAGCTGTACAATCGTATATATATGGTTTTTAAGAAGTTATATCCGGTGAGGGAATTGAAACATAGGTGTGAATGCATGAAATAATAATAATATGAAGTGCAATTAAAACTAAAATGTTTGTGATTATAATCGTAGTTAAAGGTCAAGTGGCAAAGCAAATTAATGTCATATATAGAATAATTCATAGGATGGATAGAACTTGAAAAAGGTGTGCAATTATAAGATTAGTAGACAAATCGAAAAAATAAAAACGTTACGTAATATTGTGTGAAATTTAATAGCATAGAATTTAATGTTGCATAAAGGAATTGATTTAGAATGACAAGTGGAACAAGTGAAATAATACCGGGGACAATTAAAAGTAGTAGTAGTAGTAATAGTAACAATTGACTTAATAAGGAAGAGTATACAAATTGAATAGACAAAAATGAAAAAATGAAAAAAGGGAGAGTTAGTAGAGCTAAAGTATGATTGGGGATTACCATACTTTAGCATAGAGGGATTAAGACCATGAAAGTTGGAGGGGTTGAACGAACTTCTTCTGTACACAAAGATCTGGCTTTTCTGTTTCGATAGCCAAAGCTTCAGCAATACAGATGAGTCGGGTACGTAGGGATTTGGGTAGATTACTCTTTGCCTTGTAGATGACTTTGAAGGCGGAGGCTATAGAGATAGGGTGATCATTATCGACCAGATGTTCAATGATCGCGCTTCTTATTGCTCCACTACCACCTTTTCGTAACCATGCAGGATAGTGTTCTTGCACCCTCTTGGAAAAAACTCGTGTCGAACGACCGATATACCTGGCTCCACAAGAGCAGGTGAATTGATAAACACACATAGAGTTGGCCAACAGCGGGATCTTGTCCTTCAGGTTATTGAACAATAATGGTCGACTAGAAAAGGCTATTCTCAGGGATGCAGCAGGGAATGTTCTTTTCAGGGATTGTGATATCCTCCGTTTCATGATATCGGAAGCTAAGTCCCCTTTGAATTCCAAGCTCATGTAAAGTGTCTTCTTGGGTACGGTTGATAACTCACGTTTAATTGCACTTCATATTATTATTATTTCATGCATTCACACCTATGTTTCAATTCCCTCACCGGATATAACTTCTTAAAAACCATATATATACGATTGTACAGCTTGATGATAAATTCGTTGAAAAGAGTCTCTTCGCTGAATCATTTGTTTTGATTTTCTAAATGTTTATGTCCCCAATTTTGGGGGTGAGAAAATGAGAACAAAGGCTTTGCGTAGGCGGATACAGTTAGCATATGGATGATCTGACACAGCCAAGAAGAGATGCAAGGTTAACTTTCTGTGAGAAACAACCAATCAAAAGACTGTATTTTCTACTAACAATAATCTACAATAAGGTATATTAAAGTCTATAAATATGTGTTGATTTTCCTTAATAAACGATCTGTTGCCTGGCCCTTGTCTTCTGTTGTTACAATAGGATTGAGTCGCATTGGTTTAATGGTCTACGAGCACGGTTGCCTTGTAACCAGAAGGTCCTGGGTTCGAAACGTGGCATTGGATGCGTACTGATGAAGAGTCCCAAACTAGGACGAAACGGCTGTCTAGTATTCCCAGGTTTTCCTATGGCTCTCTAACCAATGTCAGCTCATGATGAAATCCTGTAACCAATCAATCATTTCCCTACAAACCAATACTTGAAAGTTTAACTGTGAAATAAAATTGCTATTATATGTTTGTTTCAGTTTCCCTAGTCCAACTAATAACAAATCTTACCGGATCACAGAAAATTACAAAGAAAGATATTTAGTTAGCATTCCAAATAATCATAAATAAAGCAAAAATGCATGCGTGTTTATTACTCTTTACGAAATGACTCTGCATTTAGACAACTGAAAAGCTGAACTTGAAATTCTGCATAGTATTTAAAAATTTCAAATCATCAAATTAAAAAAGAGTGATTAGTGAATAAAGAATATTCCTTTCTATAAATTCATCATCAGGTTCTACATTCATATGACAATAATAATTGAAGAAATATTTTTATTAACAGCATGAATGTTTTAAATTGCATTAAATCAGTAGTATCGACAGATAACATTTCAAAAGCATCAATAAGATGTAATATGTATTAACACGTAACACTAGATTGTTCCCAAGCTTGAAAATTGATTCGAAGGAATTTTAGTATCGGTAGGGTACAGGTTATATTTTCCAAATATCCGGTTGTGATTCCGAAAGTGAAAGGTGAAGTACCTAGGCTAGCCACTATAAACTATATCCATCAATTCAACTGCTCCTGTGGAGGCAGTTATATTAGTAGTTGCTCTAGGAACTTAATTTTTTGTGCTCAGGAACACCTATCAGTGTGGTTGACTAGAGGTGTTGTTAAAACCGTTAACAATTATATATTGGATCACCTCTTCCAAACAGATTACAAAGCATTGAAGTGTCTTTTTTATCATCTACCAGGTATCAAATAAATCGCCAATGGCCTTTAGACGCCGAACATTCCAAAAATCAGTGGCCACTGCGATTCTTCCAAATCAACTGGAGTTTTGTGTGAAAAAGTAAGAGGTCCAGCCACTATTCCTACTTTAGCCTGTTGTCGAGCATATAAATCCATAAATTCTGTATTACTTTCCTTAATTTATCTGATATTCAGTTTGGTGTTAAATTAATACACATAACTTACTGGTGCTTCTGAAATGTAATCTGTCGACACTACTATTATTATTATTATTGTTCCCTTGGGTTCCTGTAGGTTCCTGTAGGACTGTATTGAATACCTTGATTGAACACTAGTTAGTAACTAGTGTAATGTGTCTAGTCCTTTCTGTGGTGCAGACTCAATTCTATCAGTCAGGTTTGTAGTATGGTCACCATTCTAGGTAGCTCGCTATCACGGTGCACATTGATCTGATGACATTAGATGGTTGGAGGTAAACGGCAGGAAGCCATGCACCTAGGTTTCGTGCTTGTCGGCACTCGTCAGCAAAGTATTGTCAAAGTATTCAATACAATCCTACAGGAGGTCAATCGCGAGCCCGAATAGCTCGGTGATGAAGTCTCTGACTGCAGTACTCACTGAGTGATGTGGGTTCGAATCTCAGAAGGGACATGAGTTCCTCCAAGATTGCACATAAGCCTTTCTGAGTAGTGAGTGTCAACTAGCTCGAAACTTAGGTCCAAGGCTTCTTGTGACCGATTGCCTCCAACCATCTAATAACAATGGTTCTGAGTATACCGTGATGGCGAGCCACATAGCATGGTGGCCACATTGTGAAATTGACTGATAGAATTCATACACTAGTTAGTGTCCACTCAAAAGGATAAGAATATTCTTCGTTCATTATTCAGTCTTTTGACATGTTTAATGGGCGTCCTCAATAACTTTGAAAAAAATTAAATTTATAGTGATTCTATTCTAAGGAATAATATCACATCCTGAAAACAATCCGAGGGCAAATGAATGAATGAATAATGTGTTCTAAATTCAAGAACCAGAATAATTTAACCCACCGTTTCAAATACATTCTGTGATAAATGTCAATAAATGTAAAATCCGGATCTGTTACAAACCATATTTTGCCTACAAATAGATAACACAAATACTTTGAACTGCAGTGTCGTCGTTTAGTTTATTAGCTAAAAACTATTCTATAATAGGTGGGTGGATTTTTGAACATTAATAAGTATTGTATAACATCAACTAACAACAACTATAATACCGGAAGAACTATGGCAGTCAACAAATGAATATGATTCTAGAATTGATTTGAAAAATAATAGGAATACAATTTAGCATTAGATAAGCATAATAATAATAAGCATTTCTCAAAACTGAAATTGTCATTAAACTTATCAGCAATTCTCAACAATATGTGAATCACATAGTATTCAATGCAAATTAAAGTATGAAGGAGAAAACAATGTAGATAAAAGCAGTTATTAGCAAAAATTAGCAACTTATTCAAATGAACACAACTATCGTATATGAACTATATCAAACATAGTGTGCGTCAGTGACACAGCGGTAGAATGCTCGCCAACCACGCAACACGTGGTTCGGGGTTCGATCCCTGGCCACAGACGCACTCCTTTACCTCGCTAAGCCAGTAATAATACTGATAAGGAAAGAAGGTTGAGCATGAGGCTAGCAACCCCATCCTGTAAAAATCAACACCACTGCTACTGAAACTTCTGGCCTCTAGCTTGAAGCCCTATGAGTGCCAACTAACACGAAACCTAGGTCCAAGGCTTCCTGTAGCCGATTGCCTCCAACTATCTAATATCATCAAATCAATGTGCACCGTGATGGTGAGCTACCTAGAATGATGGCTACATTGCAAAACCTGACTGATAGAATTCAGTCTGCACCAAAGAAAGGAATAGACTCATCACACTAGTTACTAGTGTCCAATACAAATACCCACTACATTCCTACAGGAGGTCAATCGCGAGCCCGAATAGCTCAGTGTTAACGTCTCTGACTACAGCACTGGGCGGCTTAGAATCTCAGAAACGACATCAGTTCTTTCAAGTTTGCAGATACGCCTTTCTGAGTAGTGAGTGCCAACTAGCACGAAACGTGGGTCCAAGGCTTCCTGTGGCCGATTGCCTCCAACTATCTAATGTGAAGGTATAAAAAAGTATCAAACATAGATTTACTCAGATAATTTTTCTTCAACCACTGACTGATTTAGCATCACTGCTGACCACCTCAGTGTAACTTATGTTATTCATAATTTACACGATATGAGACATCTTCCTTACCTTATATTCACTATATTCTGGTCCACCTTTTTTAACGAAATCTTCCCACATATGTGAAAACGGTCCATGACCTATTTTAAAATATGAAAATTCATATTGTTCAATGATATAGAGGTTAAATATTTTGTGAATTAACCAATTTTAACACATCTGTAATTCAAGTATTGGTTTGTAGGGATTTGGTTGATTTGTTTAGAGGATTTCATGATGAGCTAACATTGGTTAGAGAACCATTGGAAAACCCACCTGGGAGTACTGGACAGCCAACTGTCCCGTCCTAGTTTGGATCGGGTCCCAGTGGCTTAATGGTATGCGAGCTCGCCTTGTAACCAGAAGATCCTGGGCTCGAACCCCGGTGGGTGCGTACTGATCAAGAGTCCCAAAACTAGGACGAAACAGCTTGCTGTCCAGTACTCCCAGGTGGGTTTTCCAATGGTTCTCTAATCAATGTCAGCTCATGATGAAGTCCTGTTACACATCTCTCATCGGGTTTCGAGCTTTATAATGTTACTGATGAAACACTACAGAAGACTAAGAGTAGTTTCACTGAAATCAGACGAATAGTTTAAGGCCTGGTTCATTGGTAGATAGTAGTTTGATATTCCACAAAAATAAAGTAATTCTAAATATCAATAATTACTTTTCATCTTAATTATCTCGGAGGAGAATGGTGTTCACAGTCATTTGGATTGTTAAATAAAACGAAGAGAAGTTGGTAGCTTGGATATTATTGTTTACCGGTAACCAAAACATTTTGAAAAATACCAAGATTTTGCTTCCTATCATTCGATATGTGTTAAGTCACATTTAGTGAAATGTTCACGCAAGAAACTTTGCTACAACACAATATTTACCCTTCAGTATTTATCAGAGTTTATACAACCTGAGATACAAATAAGACGTAATTGTCTGATGTGACACAGTTAAGAGAAAGTTCAGAGTCAAGGAAGGAATATCTCAAGATTCTTTACGAAGCTGGGATTAGGTTGACACTTACAACAACAAAATTTGCTCAAAAGGAAGCAATGGAATAGTAATGGAGAAGATTTGTATCTCTAGCAGGTATTTTTGGTATGGTTGTATTCTCCAGACTGAGTAGTTTATTCCTGAAACTTTGACTATCCATCTAGATAACATCTTCAGCGCTTATTTCGTCGTGAAGTACAGTTGTAAAAGGAATTAACATCAGCCATTAACTGCACATAGTCAAAATTGATGCATTTAAATATAAAACTAAGAGAATATGACATTGGTCCTTGAGAATAGTGACCCATCCCACTTTAGGATTTCAGAAGTCACAATGTTTTTTAAAGTATTTAAAACAAATTCAATGTATATCCGTTAATTAAGTGTAGCTTAGTGGAATCAAAATGAAATAAATATTAGAATAGTAAAAAGAAATGCGTAATGAATTTAAAAATTTCCAAAATACACAACAATAATTAATCGAGGTAAGAAGGATTTACAGGTGATATCAGTTGTGTTAATTTAACATAATATTATTAGTTTTTGAAGATTGGAACTTATACTCTATAAGGATATCCGTACGAAGCAGTTCTAGACATGACACATAAATTCACATTGGTCCAGTCTTTCAGTCTTTGAGAAATAGCAAACAAATGCAAAATCTTATACATTCCGTTACAGAACAAAACAATTTGCAGTGAGAAGCGAAATGTAGCTTATCTGATATGTAAAATAATGATAGATGCTACTTTCACGCTAGCTAATCTATATGTTTTGCAAGTTTAGTCGATACTACTTATTTTTTCACTAACAGGCTACAGGCCCTCCTCGACGGGCAGTGTTAGCTGACATAGTATCAGGTTGGAAAAGAGCTAGATGTGGGCAAACCAAAACATGACGTCAGTCAATGAAATTCACAACAGTTAGTTTAAGCCAGCCACATAAGGAGGTGTAGACTTCCTGGTTAGGGTCCTCACGATGGGAAAAACCAACGACGGCTGGAGACAGTTGGTGATAAGGCTCAAAATCATTCTCAGTGGCGTAGCTGCATTCACTCTTTGTGATTTATCATATCTAATAAAACTCTATTGTTTTTCCATATTACTATTCTTTTTGCTTCATATTTCTGTTTATTATCTCTCTCTTGAATCTCTCTTTACTCTCCTCTCTTGCTTTGTGTGCTGCATGCACATGGAGTGTGGTAACTCAAACTGCTGAGCATTTGTGCAAAGTTCTACGTTGAAAGCAGTCAGTCAGTCATTTAGTCAACAGGTTACAGTATTTACAAAATACAGAATAACAGTTAATCGATAATTCATCATTTTGAAAATCCATCATCTTATGTCTTTCTACTTCAATTAACTTTGTACTTTGATTTGGATGGTAACTTGGTGTGCATAATATATACGTCAAAAATATTAGTTGATTGAAAAACATAACTAATTTCACCACAAATGTAAATTGTTTCAAAATGTTCTACGCAGGACCAAATATTTGTGGTCTTTTTACATCGCACAACTTTAACAACCATTCGTTTGATGTACAGTAAAACGAAGCAATGCTTCACATATCCATCTATATTTAAATCAGTGGACTTGTACATTAGTGCAGTGCATTACTTTACGTACCAAATGGAATATATGGCTTCAATCTTTGAAGCTTCAGTAGCAGTGACATCGTTCTTACGGGATGGGTTTGCCTAACGATCACTCTTTTTCGGATTAACAACTAGGCGATGTTTAAGAGTGCGTTAGGTGCTTATACTTTGTAAATCTAGAAATAATATAATGTTAAGTGATTAAATTTATTCGTTGACAGACCAATAAACTGACTATTACTTGTCATTCTTGTGAGGCGACGGATATGTTCGTATACTTCACTTACTCTGTCTAATTTGGATAGCCTTCAATGCATAGGGATAATAAAACATTAGTTTAGTCTGGCAAACGTTTGAGATTCTCACTCAAAGACATAAAAAAAACTAAGATTTATCACGATTTCTAACTATTATAAAGTATTGAACAAAATTTCTAACCAATACCAACAGGATCTAGGAAAAAGGGAGAAAATGCTTCGCTGTCTTATACAATTAATACGAATTTTGTTTAAGTACTTACTGTTCATTATGAAATATTTCAAAAAGTTCAAGAAAACATATGCCATCAGTATGAAATATTGATCAGTAGTGATATTCTATAATTCAATCATCTGAACAATTTTTTTATCTAGAAATGGTATTTTTTCCTGTTTACAGTCAACATATATATAAGGTATCAGACAACGGTGACAATGAAACTGATATAGAGCTCCAGAAGACAGTGGAATAAGTTGCCGCTTGCAAGTGATTAGAAAATACAAAAAAGTAACCGCAAGAAGGGATAGATTTTACATGAGAAATTTGAAGAGAGTGATCAAAATAATAGAGGTACTAGTAGCAACCGTCAAAATTATGCTGTATTTACATGAAAGCTTATTTTGAAGATACTATGTCATTTTCTTTAAAGCTACGAAATATACTTATTCACCCAACGCTCAGAAAACTCTAATATTTACTTATGTTCAAATGTTGCATCTATACCTTTAAACTCGTAATCGATACGTGGACTAATTTTACCCAACAACTCCAAAAATCCAATGACTTCCAGAAATTATAGCAAAATGAATTATTGAAAAGTTTAGTAAAAAGTCGTCTCCCATATACTTTAATGAATGTCTATCATTATTTGTAAGGCTAACATCATCATTGCATATAAACTTTTTCAGTGAAGCAATCACACATATGTGCTCTTTCACACAAGAAAAATTAAGGTTACAAAAAGTTTACTATAATTACTCAATTTGTAGTTTTGATGAATAATCCTGAAAATAAATGTTAAACATTTAAGAAATGTGTCAATGGCAAAGGAACTTTTATTTATCAATATTCTTATTAAACACTGTTATCAGACCTGTTAAATAGGCATATAAATTTAGTTTTATGAAGATATTTTATGTTTTGTGTATTTTTTGTTTGTTTGTTATAAACATCACTAAACTTGTACTTTATCTTCAACACAATAGCTCTTCATTATATTCTTAAGTATAGAAAAGGAGATGTGGAACACATTATCTAATTATTGTTTTTTATTGTATTCATTCACCAAAATTAAGGAAAAAAATCGTTTAAGAATCCCTCCGTGAAATGTCCTAATAAGTTTGTCTATAATGCTTATTTTGTATTCAAATAGAGCATTTAACATTCAAGTATTGGTTTGTGGGGATTTAATTGATTTGTTAGAGGATTTCATCATGAGGTGACATCGGTCAGAGAACCATTGGAGAACCTGCAAGGAAGAGTGGACAGCAAGCTGTTTCGTCTCGGTTTGGGACTCTTCAGCAGTGCGCACCCACCACAAGGGTTCGAACCCAGGACCTTCTGGTTACAAGGCCACCGAGCTCGTAGACCATTAATCCACTGGGCCCCGATCCAATGGTCAGCTCATGAATTCCAGCTTCTGCCAATTCACGACACAGGGCGACTACCAGCCAATGTCTTCGGCGAGTTTTCTAATGGTTCGCTAGCAGATGTCAGCTCATGATGAAATCCTTTAACCAATCAATGAAATCCCTACAAACTAGTACTTGAATATCAATCTGATGCTCACTAGAGACTGGCCCTATTCAGGTAGGTTTTTACCTGGGTTTCTAGTGGGAAGTCGTGACCATTAGGGTGCAGCAGGTCGGGTGTGAGGACAAATACTGGCTAGCGAGGACATTGGCTAGTGGACGTGCTATGTTGAGAATTGGCAGAAGTTGAAATTCATGGGCTGGCCATTGGGTCGGACTCAGTGGCTTAATGCTTTACGAGCTCGTTAGCCTTGTGACCAGAAGGTGCTGGGTTCGAACCCCGTTGGTGCGTACTGATGAAGAGTCCCAAACTAGGACGAAACAGCTGCCCAGAGCATTTAGCGGTGTGTTGTTCAAGAAATGAAATAAAAGCCGATTTCATTTAGAAAACGTCGGATAAATTTTGAGGACAAAACAGCTGCACAAATAAATGATACATTCTTCTTTATCTTGTTAATTTATATATCACCAACCAGTATTTCTTTTATCCAGTTGGTATAAAGCTGAACTAACTTAGGAAGGTAGATATTAAGCCTGATTTGCTAGATGCTCTGTATTTTTTTACATAGTCTTACTCAATATATGTAATAGCATATGCGTGGAAGTAAGTAAAGCTTATCTGTAGGCAGGCTGGTGTGATTATACTACTCGATTGATTAGAAAAAGAAATCAATAAAATCTAACAGATGGTACAACCCACAGGTGTCCGAAAAGATTTTAAAATTAAATCCTGAAAATTTTTTTCTAGTTTCACTTCTTTATACACCAAAAAGGTGATTAGAAGACAATGGAATACACACTGATACTACTGTTTAGACAATTCATTAGTCCTGAACACCAGTTGACTATTTTTCATTGATATATAGAATGATAGGGCATATTTGTGATTTGTTTATTGCTTTAGTTTATTAATGACTACTTTGAACCCAGTCTTCGACTTTGGAAAGGGCTTCGACAGCGTCGATCGAGAGGTGATTTGGCTACTACGGGGTGCCACCGACAATCATACATCTCATCCAACAGTTGTGCGACAATGCTGCATGCCAAGTAATCCACAACGGGAAACTTACGGAATCCTTCGAAGTGAGGACAGGAGTAAGACAAGGCTGCCTACTATCGCCAATGATTTTCCTGACTGCAGTAGATTGGATAATGCGACAGACAGTGAGGAATGAGGAAACAGGCATAAAATGGACCCTAACGAAAAACTTGGAGGATCTGGACTTCGCCGATGATATATGTCTGATTTTCCACAAACTGGAAGATATGCAAATGAAAAGCAACAAGTTGGCAGAAGAAGCATCAAAGACAGGACTTCAATTCAGTGAACACAGAGAAAACAGGGGTGATGAAGATTGCTGGCCAACACCAACAGCAGCAACAACAACAGACAACAATCAGCATAAATGGGAGGAACCTGAAAGAAACAACCTCTTTTACCTACCTGGGAAGCATCGTTTCAACTACAGGCAGACGGAACTGATGAAGATATCAAAGCAGCGAAGATCGGGAAAGCAAGACAAGCTTTCACTACTCTCAAGTCTGTGTGGAGGTCAACAACACTCAGCATCAGAAATAAGATCCGGATTTTCAACTCCAATGTGAAGTCAGTGCTACTATACGGATCAGAGACTTGCACTGCGCGTCATAAAGAGCATCTCAAACAAACTACAGACCTTCATTAACAGTTGTTTTCGCTCAATACTCAAGATCAGATGGCCGGAAAGGATCAGCAACAAAGATCTCTGGGAGCGAACCAACCAGGAACCGATTGTGAAACAAATAGGCAGGAAGAAATGGAGATGGATTGGCTGGCCATACTCTGAGGAAACCATCAAGTGACATCACTAGACAAGCCATTGCTCGAGTGGAACCCGAAAGGGAAGAGGCGAGTTGGTCGTCAGTGCAAGGGTGACTTGGAGGAGGTCATGTGAAGAGGAGATGAAAACGTGTGGGCAGACTTGGAGCCAGGTGAAAACTCTAGCAGAGAACCGAAAGCAAAGGAGACGCACGGCTGAAGCCCTATGTTCTTCTAGGAATTAAAGCTAATAATAATAATAATGAACCCAGTCAATCAAAGAAACCAATAGCGGTTGGCAAAAATATATACTCTTATGAGATTCATACATATATAAACCTTCATACAAATCTGGAAGTAACAATTTAGACGAAAATGAATTGGGTTTGATTTAGAACTTTTTTTCACCACAGAAAAAAAAGCGTGAATACTACTAAAATTTCGGCTTTAAGTCAATAAATTAGGCAAAAAGTAAATGATAGATCACAATTCTAGCCTTTTGCTTTATCCCAGAATATTCGTATGTTAAGCATTCTCCGAAACTTACTGTACAAGTCAGGTAAAGCCTACTACAGAAAAATGGTCACTTATTATTTAAGTGCATTAGAAATGTTTACATCGCACACTGAACGACATACAGTGAGGTCCGCAACATTTATCTAGACTTCTCAATAAAAAACGAGAAAATAGCAATCGGTTGTCTTATCATTGCTATCGAAAAACAAACGAGTAGGGCAGAATACGTCATTTAGTTTTTCTACGCTTTTATGATATAACACCAACGATACACAGGAAACGGAACTTCTTGGTGTTTAGTGGCAAAGTTTACAATAGACAGTGATCTTGAAGAACCACTTACTTTTTATTTACGTTGAGAACTTCACCATTTTTATTAGCATATTTTCTTCTGCTACTCCTTAGTTTCTTGGCCATCATACAATTTTACCGAATAGATCTGCATGTATCGTTTATGCTAACGTCCTAGTTTGTAAAATCAGACAGGCTAGTCACTTTAACGCAGTGGGATAAATAACGGCAGAATTCTCTTTCTGCATTGGGCTTATCAACATCAATAGATATTTTTCATAATGACAATAGGTAAATTTGATTTAAGCTTACCTAAATCATGACATAATGCCGCAATCCTGACAGCCAACTGTTCTTCAAAATTCAAAGTTGGACCTGAGTAGTTTTGATCACTGTTAATGCTTTCAAGTAATTTCTTCGCCATATGGTAGGTGCCAATTGAATGTTCGAACCGTGAATGTTGTGAGCTTGGAAAAACAAACGATGCAATGCCCAACTGTTTTATTTCTCGAAGACGTTGAAATTCCGGGGAGTCCATTATTTGCACAGCCAAAGGTTCTAGCTCTATTACTCCATGAACAGCGTCCTGAACAATCTTCAATATTTCATTAATGAAAAACAGAATAATTTTTAGTAAAAAAAATTAAAGCCATTTGAAAACAGTATGGAATTCTGAAACCAATGCTAAAAGAAAGGTCTTGTAAGATCAACGAAGAACATGACAGAGAAGGTTAATAATTTGCACTGCTGCCCATAAATAGAAATAATCCTGACAGTATAAGAAACTAATTTGTCCTTCCATGAATCTGCTTAAGATAATCACAATACTGCATTCGTTTGACCTAACTTTACCTTTCGACATCAATCTAAGTACATTTTAAATGCGCGTAAATAACAGTGTGGCCATAAATCTCAAATAAATGAAAGGAATGCTCTATTTTAATACACATTACCATCATACAGGTATATTAATGTCGACAACGTGTGTATGAATGAAATTTCTATACTTACACAGTACAAATACGCGACGGCTCTTTCCACAGAATTAACAGGAAAAACGATTCAAAGTTTTGTGTTTACAACTAAATTGTATTTCTGATTTATACTTGCGATTTGCCGTCTATACTTTTAGACCGAATCGATAGGCTTTATTTTAGCTAATGGCTTCCTAGAAAAAAGACACCAATATAGTCATTATTTCTAAATTCTTGTTATTTCTTCGCTGATGGCTAGCAGCAGAATCCAGGGCACAAATTTTATTTTGTTTGGGACGTACCAGCCGGTTGCAACTGTATGCCAATAGTCTACGGTGCTCTGACTTTAACCCAGGGATATCACTCGTTATTTCAGTTCTCAAAGCAATATCTACCAGATAACCTACCACGAAAGATATCACTGGCTCTACCAGTATGACTTCTTATTATCTGAATATAACGGTACATTTCTGCCCATGCTTTTGGACTAAATTGGGCGGTATTTTTCGGTATATATGCTCTTTAATTGATATCTCGATATTGTCATGATTCCAGAACTGTAAATGCTGGTATATAGGTACAATCCCAAATGGAAAGAAACTCATATCCTGCATTAAATTGCTGATAACCACAAAATTACCAAACTATGATTGGAATTTATAAGCCTCTAAGGCATCCAGAATCACCAGTCTGACAAAAAAGTTCGAATGACAGTTCCAGCAAGCAAAAGAGATAATCTTTGGAGTCACTCAGGTAGAACCTAACAAGTTTTTTAAGTCGCAGTGATGTTAAGTACGTATCAGACACAAAACATGAATTTATAGTACGTCAACACTAGAGGAACTCGGGATTAGCTATTCAGATATTGCTAATCTACATATCAGTGCGGAAAAAAGATAAAACATGTTTCAATGATTCAAAAGTAAAAATCACATTGGTAAACGTTCTCCGAATTAATCCTTTTAAACTACCAATAGCAAAAGGTACTATTTTTTTCCTTCACGTTCCCCAGTGGAACATAGGGCTTCAAGCTAGTGGCTTGAAGTTTCTGTAGCAGTGCTTATTTAACAGGATGGGGTTGCTAGCTCATGCAACCTTTCCTCTTACGATTTGGACTATTTGAACACGTTAAAATAGTATTTCAAAGCAAAATGAATGAACACTAAAGTGTCGAATCATGAACAACACTGGGATAATACAGACGCATGTCGTGACCTTTATGAAGTAACAACAAAACGATACAACCAAAGCTTCCTCATAACCTTTCCATATCAGAGATACGGTAGAAAGTTTGTGATCAAAGAAATCCAGCTACTATAATTTGGGGGCCGAAGACAAACTACCTATGTGATCTAGTGATAACAGTCTCTTTGTCACAAATTTTAAAGAGCGATTGGATCTTCACAGATATTTTCACTGCTGAATACACTATCAGATTTAGTAGAGAAAAGTGAATACCAATTGGCTAAAGAAAGTATGGAATATTAGTTAGCCCAAAACTTAAACTATGCAAAATCTTAAGTTTCTGAATATGGTTTTAAATATGAATATAAACGTATTTTTCCAAGAGTTCTGTGCCTTCAATTGTCTCACTTACGCATGAACTACAATACTAATATGTAATCTTTCATACCTCTTCATCCTTCTTCTCTAAGATTTTCTAAAATATTTTGTTAAATTAACTAATGCTGTTAAAATGCATACGTGCATAGCTAAATACGTGCATACATAAATATTAATTCCTGAAAACTGGAGATATTTTTGAGTTTTAAACGGGATCCTCGACTTCGTTATGTCACACACTATCTTTGATTCCTCTTGGATTGGTGTCAGAAATTAGACCCCCTGTGTAAAGTTGAATTATGGATACTCCAAATAAGGAAATAAAGAATAACTTCAGACAGCGAATCAAAAAAACATGAATTGGTTGTAACTGAAACGTATCGGTTTGCAAGCTAAGTCAGAATGAACTTCAGGATGTAGATCTGGGCTATGTATGTGCTTAAAACTAATATTAGACTCAGAAAACCATTGGCTTAAACTTTGTCACCAACAAGAAACATCTCAGACATTCTCAAATCACATAACTTCACTGCCCAGTTAACAAGCCTGAGATAGTCAAGAAAGTGTAGTGAAGTTTCTGCGAAGTCTGTTGTTGATAAGGGTCATTCCCCACATCAATTCTGTTCGAAAAATCACTTGTCGCAGACCATAACTAATTTGAATAAGAGGGGAGACACTTTATCAATTGGCGACCACCGATATTAAGCCTGCTATGTACAAGGATAGACCATTTCACCATAAATCATGAATATAGTCTGGCATAATTACTCTAAGCAATAGTGAGTGAAAAGAAAGGAAAATGAAAAACCTATTAACGACAGGAGTTACTTGCCACTTATTCTTGTGCTTACTAAAGAGACAGTTTCCATAAATGGGTTTAAGTAGCTTCCTAAGACGGATAGCCTACACTTTAGAGAGAAATTTGCAATAAACATTTTATCCGGTCTACATCTACATCCTGCCCGATTGCCTCCAACCATCTAACATCATCAAATCAATGTGCGCTGTGATGAAGAACTATCTAGAATGGTGGCCACATTGCAAACCTGACTGACAGAATTTAGTCTGCACCAAAGAAAGGACTAGACACATTACACTAGTTACTAACTAGTGTCCAGTCAAAATATCCAATATAGTCCTACAAGGGGTCAATCGTGAGACCGCATAGCTCAATGTAAAGTCTGTGACTGCAACACCGGGTGACGTGGGTTTGAATCTCAGAAGGGACATGAATTCCTTAAAGATTGCAGATACGCCTTTCTGAGTGGTGAGTAGTAGCTAGCACGAAACCTAGGTCCAAGGCTTCCTGTGACCGATTGCCTCCAACCATCTAATAACTGCTGTTTTCCATCATTCAACCCCATTTTGAGTGTGACGTTATCAGAAAGCTGTTTCTTATTTAAAAGAAGACAAAGCAGCAGAAGCTTGTAGTATGGCTTCGAAATTGATAGTAAGTTGACTAGGACAACTAAAGAATCAGTTAGTATAAGGAACCCAAAACTGTCTCATCAAACTAATTCAAACCTTCAACTATCCTAGTTTACAATGGCAATAATGTTTTGTGGTAATTCTTGAGGAGTTAAAATCATTCAGCGTAATCCGACGCGCAACACCCTACAATACACTATCATCTAAAAACTGTATAGACATCGAGAAAAAAGACTTGGAGAACTAGACGGGTTTCAATCCCATGCGGAGATACACTGACCGGAGCGTCATCTACCGACACCTTCTGTTACACAGGCTTACCAACTTCAGACACATCATATGTTTTCACCATTCGACTTGAAAGGTGTAGTGACAATTTCTGACTGTAAAGAGAGTGCTAAAAATTTTTGTTGTGTCAATAGACTTCATATAAATTTTCGCATCAGTATATTGGTTAATTGGAAGATGTCATTGGGAACGTCGCCAACAAACGATTTCCATTATCCATAAACAGTGTCATCATTTTAATTTGTTCATGTTGATTTGTACTTCTCTTTGATTGACTATGTTGAACCAAAATGCTCAGTCTCTTTTTAACAAGTGGTAACAACATCGGTCACCGGATATGCAGTCACATCCAGATAACCAGTCCTGAATAAGGTGAAATGTGCATCCTAGATTCCAATACTAACCATCTCATATAGAGTGAGACAGCAAAGCAAGCAATACTAACAGCACAGCAAATGAATGTAAATTCATCCATGAAACAGTGATTTACTCACAAAACTGATTTTCTCAGTGCTTGATCTTGACTGAGGCAGGAACATGCTAGGAATTAGGCAGCTAAACACATGGTACATATACACTGAGATAACAACTGCATACAGTCTATGCAAACATGCATATCTGTGGGATTCAAATTGCTAAATTTGAGTGGTTAAAAATACCAAGTGGAATAGCCCAAAATGTTGTACAATACTACAGATAATTTGACATGTCATTCCGCTGGAATTTACCAATATATTCACAAATTTCTTTTAATCGTTTGACATTGGTTTATCACTGATAAAGTTAAGTCCATCATATGTTCCGTTAGGGAATGAATATGCTCCTTCAGTTTGCCTGGAATGCTACCATTCAATTCCGTCTACGTCAAATATTATATATAAAGATAAACTCCTGTGGAAGTTAAATATGCGAAAATGCATCGACACATATCTACAGTCAGTCAGCAAATTATCGCTATTTTAGCTATAAAACCAAAATAAAACAGCAGTAGATTTGTGGAGTTGCTGAAGGTTTTTTCACTTTATGCATCGTAATTTGTTCAAGTTAAAAGAAATACCTTTCACCTAAGTAAGCGCAAACGTTTCCCAGAAGAAGAATTAAAATTCAATGAATAACTCAATAAAGATGAAAATCATACCATACATTATGAATGTAATTCATTATGATTAATTAAAGATAAGTTTACCTTGGACGACATTATGTAGTTACTTTGTCTCGAAAACGCCTAATGAGAGTTCACTGCCTCGTTAAAGTACCATGATGAAAACAAACAGTTTTAGTATAGACAAACAAAACAGAAATCTATATTTGAATGACGTCAACAGCGAAACCTTTTCTATTCCTAACCTTACATATCAAAATTGTTGACGAAATTCGGGTTCATAAACGTAATTTCCAAGAGTGATGATGGTTATTTCATAAATGTTAAACCTAATCTTCGATATAGCTCATTCGTGTTGCAGAAGTGACCAGACCTGTATTACGGAGTTCCTCGTAGCCTCTAACGGCTGAATAGCACTCTGTGACCATAAAACATCAGTTGATATGCTGTTTCTAGATCTACTCAAAGCTTTCGAATCTGCAACACACGAAATCACACACGAAAGTTTCCGGAACAGTAATCGACAACTCATATCTATCATGGGTTTGCAGCTACCCGAAGGGCGGAGGCTTTTTTATGAAGCTGAGTCCCACAAAATCTACGTGGAAGACGTTGCTATCTGGGATATCACAAGGAGGTGTTAGTGCTTTACCGTTACTCCTGATCTTCATAAATTACCAAAGAACAACTTCAAACCATCAGTTTCCTAATCTGACGCAGCCAGAAATTAGTGAGAATCGCTCACACTGACCTAGAAAATTTGTCCTTTGTAAGCACTTCGGCACAGATTTCAGTCCATATTCACATCACAACCAGTAGTATAAGTAGTCACCTACTGCTTATATGAACATAATCTCCCACATACAGACATGGAGCACAGATTTTAGCTGTTCATTGCAGAAGAAATTAATACAAGGACAGTTTATGAAATAAACACATTAAGGGGAACTACAGCTTTCTCTTGTGGTCTCAGATGCTCAGGTGTCCTTATACCTGAAATGTTAACAGATGTACATAACACATCTAACATATTACCCCAAAGTTCTCGAGGTTGTCGCACTACAGATTCCGAATAAAGACGTCAACCTCTTGTAGAATCTGGAAAGGTAGATCCACTTGAATACCAGCTGAATGTTAATCACTTTCGAAGTTTGTGCATACACACTCGTACTCACCTGAGAGTCAGTATGATTACGCACTGAAATAAAGTGGTGAAAACTCTGAGGCATTTGGAAAGAACCATACTACCAGATCAGCACTGCGGCGTCCTCCACAAAGATCCGAGATTTCCTCTTCACAATGTATTAACAGAGGTGCGTTTCTATCTTTTCTCCACTAGAGGTTTTTGAATAAAAGATTGGAGGCTCGCTGACGTGGTCGCCACCGAGTCATTCGATAGCTTCAAGGGAAGGCTAAATGACTACACAATGTATTAAAGACAACGCATGTCTATCGAGGAGCTGTCTAGCCCCGATAGACTTTACTGGAGCAACAAATATGCCCTCGGTACTGTCTCTTAATATTTTTAACTTTTCCATAACTTTTCTTTGCTTGTCTACTTTTCACAGTGTTTTACATACTCTCCCTTTTTCACTTTTATTCTGCAGCCTATCCAACTTCTTCGGGCTAGTTTGGAGGATTATCTGGTGAAATGACAGCTACATATTCAGGCAGTGGCATTACCTTGTAACTACCCGCACATCTTCCACAAAGTAAATTCACGCACTCCCACTACAGACCTCCGAAGCTCTTCAGCAGTCAGGTGAGAAGGCCCGCCGCAATGAAATCGGACAACAATCTGAGGCAACTTCAAAGCGCTCGTTAAAAATATGCATGATGTAGCATGCGTGCCTACATGCTTAGATTACAACTACATATGCGCAACTATATTGTTAGCAATTCAGTCGAGTTTAGGCGTTTCAAAAACCTTGTGGTGGGCTAGATGTCTGTTTGGGTCACAGTACTGCACGCCATGGGTAGCCAGACAAACTCCTAAGAAGCGATTCATGAGTGCTGTTATTCCAGTCAATCGCCAAAGAAATCGAAGTGTTGGTAAAATGTATCCTTTATTGTGTGAGAGCTATCTACTAGCCAAATTGGTAGACAGTAATTACGTAATATTACTCCAAGATTGTGTGAAAATGAAAGATTGATAAAACATAATACAAGTATGTCATGAAATATATAATATGCGTTGATTTTAATAAATGATCTGTTGCCTACTCTTGCCTTCTGTCGTTACAACGTGGTCTAAATTAGATCCTTTTAGAGTGACGCAACTTAATTATATTTAGATGTGGTCAATACGACGAAAACTTATGACGGCTACATTCTCTAACAATACATTTGTATTCATGTCGCTTCAGAGAAAAGTAGTCACCAAGACAAGGCAAAATCATGTGTTGGGTCATTCGAATTTTAACTTGTAATTGCCAATTAATGAACGCCCCTAATCAATAAGATATATGAAATAAGAACACTGGTATTAGTCGCCAAGCCCACTGTAGTTCTGACGACTGAATCATGGTGCTCATCCTCTATAATCAATGCGCATTTAGGCGCAGCTGATTAAACTTTACACCATGCAAACAGAGATTACAAGCGTGGTGAGGTCTTTTTCATGTATGTGTATATATATATCTCATTCGTAGTCAGTAATGTTGGAGACAAAATACTGAATGAGATAACTGATTCGCTCTCACGGGCCGTGTTTCCCAAGCACCACGCTCAACCCGAGAGACTGATGTATTATTAGCTAAATCATTCGCATACACCTCTTTTAGTTTTAATCGCGAAATAATTGTGGGCAGCTTCAGCCTTCCAGAAGTCAACTAGTTAAGTAGTTCTGGCCTTCAGTGCTTCGACGAAACACTTGCCGCTATTGATTGTTGTCGGTGGGAACAATACATCCAGACACCTACCAGTGACAATATGCTGAACCTTGTGTTTTGTCATAAAATAATCCCTGTCTCCGCCTATACTGATAACAGATTTTCTAGTAATGACCATAGAATGGTACTCTCCTCTCTACCTTTTGCATCACTAAATGCAGGAAACAAACAATCAACTTCATAAATCGGTATAGATGTTATCGGAAGTACATGATAAACATTTCAACGCAGGACATTAATATTAGTTCATACATATAGTATAAAAGTTAGCATAATGGAGCTAGGCAGTTAGTCTGCCAACAAAATCATAGATTCTGCACAGAATATATATAAATTTATAAACCACTCCTTGAGGACTGCACTTGCTTTCTTCTGTGCTGCTATCGTTTGTCTTCTTTTTTCTCTCACCATTTTGGCTTCTATATGACTCTCGGAATGAGAGTAAAGAATGTAGATATTCGGCCACTTACAACGGAAAAGGATCTGCAAACACTACTGGTCCCATACCCTACAACTGTCTCATGAATTATCCATTATCTCCGCAATGCATCCTGGACAGTTGTGGAATGTTACCTTTGCAACAATAAAGAATCTCAATCACCATCTTTACAGTGCCAATAAATCTGGTAATCCTAGAGATGATGAAAATATCCTGATGGTTGCATTTGAAATCTCACTTACTCGCGTGATGATAACTTCCAGCTCCTACATGCTCTACACGTCATTTTATATCTATTGGTTTGCCGTTATTCTGGTTCCTAGCCGCATGTGGCGATACCCTGTATTATGCTGTGTACGTTACTTCCACTTGTAAAAAGTGACCCTATGGATATTATCTCATTACCTTGTCTCATATACATCTTGTGTAAGTGAACGGTTATAAACATGCTCGCACATGTATACGTTATTTATTGATGAGGCCCGTAAACTGGCGTTCCTCATGAACAAACAGATGGGAATATTTCGTTACTATCCCCGCCAATTGTATGAGGAAAAGTATAGAAAACTTGTTTCCCTTTATATCTTAGCTTATACTGTGTTCATGAAACAAAAAGACCATGAAGATAGTAGGAACGAGTGTACATCAGTTTCTTTCAGCTTGACAAGTGAGAAATAAATTCAGTACAGTATTATCCTATTGAAGTGTCTGCAGAAATAAATGCATCTGAACAAGTTGTCCAAATAATAACTATGACTTCGCACTTCGGACAGTTCCGTTATAATTTACACACCGGCTTTCATTCTTATGTGGACTGGTTTACATACTGTTTGCTTGGGTTCATGCTTTTTCAACCGACAGTTGTTTGTTCAGCCATTATCTGCTGTGCGTTCGGACGTCAGGTGACAGTGAAATCGAATGTGTTGTAACAAAATTCCTCAGGTCGTTTGTTCACAGAATTCTTCAACATTGGATGCTGACGCTCACTGTTTAATTCAATCTCATGGCCGTAGGTGTGTGACCAATCATCCTCACCGTCCAATACCCTGTCATATCACTTTCGTTCGATCCTGTACAATTCGTAGCTTGCTGAAAAATCATTGTCGCACTACGTTTCCGACCCAGAAATATATCTTAAACTTTGGGCGGTGAGTTTGTTGTACTGATCGTTTTCTGGTACTTTGAAATTACAAGTTGAACACGCGTTTGTAACCAGTTTGTATAGAGTAATCGCTAATATTCTAAATTTTCTAAAGTGCTCAATGTAATTACTTGATTTATTTCTTGGAAAGGTTAATTTTGTAAGGCATTCAGACTTTTGGCTTCAGCACAGCGCTGTTCGAAACCACTTGGTCTTTTATTTCTGTGCCTACGCCTAACTCTGCCGTTCGTGACTTAAGTGAGAGCTGCCTTCGTATTTGTCCGTAAAATAGTTTCTGTATTGCATTTTCTCAAAATGCAGCCCAGCGTAGACTCATACATAAGTGCGTAGGCACACACCGAACAACTACTTGCGAACATCATTTGGGCCTATTCTGAAATGACTTTGCCGATGGTAATTGACCCTTTTGGTCATGTGATTTGTAAATAGAAGTTCCTATTTCTCTATAAGGTGCTTTGTAAAACCCTTTGAATAACATTTTTGTCATGCTTACTATAATCCATCCTCGATTAAATCAAATCGAGTCCAATGTTTGTTGCCTGGTCTTTAAAAATGGTTTTGATGATCAGCACTCGTGACAGACGACAACTGGTACTTATCATGTACTTTGACATTCCTAAGGCATTTGACCGTGTCGACCATTTACTGCTAATAGATAA